GAGAGGCTGCGCAGCTGTGGGATGACGCCCCCAGGAAGCTGCGTGTAATGAGGGCGGAAGAGGGCGGGGCCGGCGGCAGCACCTCCCGCTGCCGGGTCCCTGCCACGGCGGCGGCGCGCCGTGCTAACGGGGGACGGTGGCGTCAGCGCGGCGGGCGGGAGTGCCGCGCCCTCCGCACAGCTCGGAACTCAAATGCGTCATAAATGCAATTCTAGCGCGGGTGTTCGCTCCTGAGAACCCCCCATGTCTGCATAACACCCGCGGTCCCTCGCGCCGGTTCTGACAGGCTGTTTTCCGGTCGAGCCCGCTGTGCCCGTTAACGGCTTTCTGTCAGTCTGTGTGCGAGCCCGCTGGCCGCAGAGGCCGGGAAGGGCGGGCCAGTGGTGCACGACACTGCAGCGCACAAATTGAGTTTGTCAAGGAATTCAGAATTGTGAGGGATAACTAAAAAGGGTGAGGCAGGAAAAGACCATCTAGTTTACTGACCATCACAATCTACAAAATAAAGATATTTAGCTTCAAATGGGAGTGGCATGGAGGGCAAGGGCAATCGCTGTGTCCCAGGGTTGATCTACTTTTTTCAGAAAGATTTTTTTAAGAAGCTGGCCTAAACCAGCTTTCCTGTATTACAATTTCCTCGTCCTGCAGATGAGTAGAACAATTGATCATAATCTTGTAGTAGGTTGGATGCATGGATCAGTGTGTGTGTGTGTGGCTTTTTATTGTAAGCCTACGTTCACTATTCAGACTATCCATATTTTAGGCCTCTCAGAGAAACCCTCCTGAGTATCAAAAACCTTTTGCATAACTTGGGGCAGTAGTGCTGTAACTTCGTTTGTAGCCACTGAATGACAGACACTGTGATGGTTTTCACACATGTGAGTTCAAAAAGGCAGATTCTTTAACATGTGATCTGGTAAGAATTTTCTCTCCTCTGTTTACAGTTTTGGGTCTAACTAGACAAGTATAATAGTCCACATGGCTGCTTGAGCAGTTGGATTTATGTTTATGTCCTTGGATACTTTTATAAGGCCCAAAAAGTATCAGGTTCATCACAAAACTAGTAAAATTTGTGGATCGTACACAGCAAGTTTACAGCTATTTCAAACATCATATTGCCAAGAGTTGTGAACACAAAGAAAAGGAAGGAACCAAAAACATCAGACTTGCAATAATATTACATGACTACTCAATTAAGCTCTGTGTGTCAGTCAAGACAGTTCTGTGCAGGCTCATATCCTGTCCAGCAGGGCTTACTTGGGCACATGTGATACTGATTCAGCTCCCCTGGGCTGTGGATCATCTGTACAGATTATATGTATATTCCAGCACGTATGAGCCAAGGCAAACACAAATCAGGCAACAGCATCACTATAGGCAATTTCCTAGGTTCTGCTGCTTAATATCAGCAAACTGTAACATTTTCCTTTCTAGAAAAGCAAATAGTGCCTTTAGAATAGAGGTAATAAAGCACACAGTAGAATTTAAGGCTATGAAATATCAATATATCATATGTAATCCTTTGAGATGACAATGCTGTAGAGTCCAATGGCTTCATCTGGCAGGGTTTAGGGTACCAAACCTGCTGGAAAACTTGGACCGTAGATATTTTTATGTCTTGTTCAGTTGAAAAGAAACTGAGAAACTAAAATTAGTTAGAAAAGGGAACAACCACAACATCCACAATTTTGTCATCAGTCTTGGGAAAAAGGGAGAGTAAAGGCCCATTACTGTTCAGGAAAGGGAATGAATGGTAGATAATGTGTAATGGATTGAAGAAAGGAGCACACCATTTTTCTTCCAGCAAACAATCTAGTTTTAGCACGATAATATTCATTTCAACAAGATAATAGCACACAAAAAAATCTGAGTTGAAGTCCTTAGCACATGTGTTAAATTCTGCAGGGACAGATGAAATTTGCCCTAAACTAGTTTTTGGGGGAAAATGAAAGAAAACAAAAACACCAAAACCAAACAAATAAACAACCCCAAAGAAAAAAAAAAACCAAGCAAAATGTAAATAACTGAAGCAGTCTCTTCAATGTTAAAAGTTATTTCTGAGAAGCCATTCAAGAACACTAGAGGACTTCATAATGATAGAGTCTCATTTTCAAATGTTGGAAAAGTAAGGCCCAAAATAATGCTACACCAAGTGGATAAACAGAGAAACAATATAACTTCCATCTTTGACAAAAATGTTTACTTGCTGCTAACAGGGTAGGTAGTATATAATTTGACTTTGCTAAGATTTTTGACGCAGTTCAATTTTAAAGGAATACTAAGGAAGCTAGTTGACCTAAATGGGAGCAGCTAGTCTTGTAATGAGTTATTAAATTTTTTGATAATGTGTTTGAGTCTAATCATTAGCAGTTCCTTGTTAAAGTGGAATGGCATTTCAAGGAGCATTCCAGGCTCAAACCTGATCTGATTCAATGTTTTCATCAGTTTTGATAATGAAATAGAAAGTATGTGTACAAGATTTGTGATATTATTCTGGGAAAGATTTTAGTCACTTGGGAAGACAAAAATGAAGAGAAAAAATATTTTGACATATGTGAAATACACTCTAATATGGAATTACATAGAGTGCAAAGTAAAGCATTTCAAAAAAGAAAGCAAATTATTAATATAAACTCTGAAATAATAGTTTACTAGCAACATATTGAAATAGGATGTGAGAGCTACAGGGTACCAGAATTTATGTAATGAATTAATAGTGAGTTACTGCAAATAAATACTATTTTAGCATGTAATGACATACAGAATTGGAGAACGGCAGCTAGTACTTATTTCATTCTTCATGTAACAAATGAGGATGCAGTTGAATAAGTATATCCAAGTCTAGGCATGATGCCTTTAGGAAGATGTGAGGCATTTGGAGAGAATCGGGGGAAGTCAACGCTGCCTGTGGGGGGGCACGCGGGAGGAGCCGTCCGGGATCCGCCAGCAGGGGGCGGCCACGCGCCGAGGGGCATCGGGCCGGGCTGGGGAGGGGGGACACTGCCCTGGGGAGGGGGACACTGCTCCAGGGAGGGGGACACTGCCCTGGGGAGCGGGGACACTGCCCTGGGGAGGGGGACACTGCTCCAGGGAGGGGGACACTGCTCCGGGGAGGGGGACACTGCTCCGGGGAGGGGGACACTGCCCTGGGGAGGGGGACACTGCTCCAGGGAGGGGGACACTGCTCCAGGGAGGGGGACACTGCCCTGGGGAGCGGGACACTGCCCTGGGGAGGGGGACAGTGCCCTGGGGAGGGGGACACTGCTCCAGGGAGGGGGACAGTGCCCTGGGGAGGGGGACACTGCCCTGGGGAGCGGGGACACTGCTCCGGGGAGGGGGACACTGCCCTGGGGAGGGGGACAGTGCCCTGGGGAGCGGGGACACTGCCCTGGGGAGGGGGACACTGCTCCAGGGAGGGGGACAGTGCCCTGGGGAGGGGGACAGTGCCCTGGGGAGCGGGGACAGTGCCCTGGGGAGCGGGGACACTGCTCCAGGGAGGGGGACACTGCCCTGGGGAGCGGGGACACTGCCCTGGGGAGGGGGACACTGCCCTGGGGAGGGGGACACTGCTCCGGGGAGGGGGACACTGCTCCAGGGAGGGGGACACTGCCCTGGGGAGGGGGACACTGCCCTGGGGAGCGGGAGACACTACCACATCCACTCAAGGGGGCTATCCAAATATAACTAACTGAAGCCCGTGCCCAGGGGCCATACAGGAAGCGACACAAAAACAGAACTGAAGACAAGCTGTGTGCCTCAGACCTAGATGGAGGCTAAATAGAGTCCCCATGCCCTGGGCAGTTTATGTGAGTAGGAGTCCCAGGTGAGACAGACAAACCAAACCAAACCAAACCAAACCAACCCAACCCAAACCAACAACCCCCAAACACACCACCAAAAAGCATATCTACAATTAAACCAAAATCTTTGTCACAGAACATTTCCAGCTCCTTAGTGGCTTACAAGCACTACTTAAGTACCTTCCAAAATAGTTTCTTTTGACAAAACTCAATAGAAGAAAAAGGGGAAAATGCTGTCTACTTTGTTCTGGTTGCAGGTGATACAAATAGCATGCGCTCAGTAGTCCCAGGATATGAAAGGCTTCACAGGTTTGACCATAGCCAATATTATGTCTCTTTATTAGACTGTAGTTCTCTATCTTCCACTGGAAGGATATGTATCACTCTTAGAGGCAAAAGTCAGCCTTAGAATAGTTCAGAGATTCTGGAAGAAGCTGTGAAAAACCATAGCTTGAACCTAATACCGGTCTCAAAAATGACACACCAAAAAAAGTACAAAAAAATTTTAAAAACAAAGGAAACGGGAAAAAAAGGGGGGAGGGGGGGCTTTAGAAAATTTGTAGTATTTCAGTGGCTAAATAAAAATGAGGCTTTGTTTTTCCAAAGACCTAATTGTAAAGAAGAGGCATTTTGGTTTTAGCTGCAACAACTAATATTTTTAAGTAATTCCATAAAAGCAGAAGCAGCTAAAAGTTTTTAAGAGGTTTCACTTGGAGAACTGCTGATGCTGGAATATCATTTCAGCCTTTCAACCATCAGCCTGTCATCTGCAGACTCAGTTCTTATAGACTTCCTATCTTGCCCTGATGGACACAAGCAGCACAGTCTTTGACTTTTCATTTCTCTCAAATAATTTCTGACTACATTCAATCTCAGTTTTCTTTTGCTTCTCTATTAATGCAAACTCCCTTAATGCACTCTCCCTTCCATAGAAGCCTGACCTGCTTCTCCTTACTCATATCTGAATATAATTGTTCCCATTCTCATTTTGCTAATACAGCTGGTACAGAATACCTTATTAACAAAACAAGATTTTATGAAAATGGTTATATTTCTGTGCAGACATGTTCATAAGAAAGGGGGAACTCACCACGTCTGCGAGGTTCTTGTCTGCCAAGAACTGATGAATCTAAGATACAATTGATCTGACAATTTCAAAAAGCGTCCCTCAGATTCTGAAGATTTGAAATTTGGGACAATACATCAAACCGCGCTATGGGGTCTAAAAGTTCGGGATCACCAACATTCTCCTGGTATGTGGCATTGTTTTACTGATTTTCTCATTCTGGGGAAATAACAGTAACTGTTAATGACAGCAACATCATGTACTTCTCTTGCCATTAGATTGTAGCGGAGTAATAGAAGCACCCTTGAATATAGTTTCTGTAAGTTAAAAAGCACCAAGAACCAGAAATGGGATATTTTTCAGGTATCAGAAAAGCCCTTTGCTTAAAACACTGAAAACTAATCACTGCTATCACCTCCTGTGGCATCACACAAATCAGATGTTAACTCCTCTACCTGTTCCTGTTTTTCTTACAGATAAAGACTGCTCACAACAGTTTAGCACACTTTTTGGAAAGGGTGTCTCGACACAGCAGCCAGAAGGTTAATTTAGGGAATGCCTGTAGGGGTAGTATTTGCTGGACAGGGAACTTAGTCACAATCTTCTTCTGAAGTACAGCAATTGAGGATGTGTTTTAAAATGATACATGTTTGAAACTGTCTGCACAGTCACCATTTGTGCTGCTTGGGAGGTGATAGGAGAGCACAAGGAACTTTGTAGGCAATATTCTTCAGGGAAGGTCACTGATCTTTCTGATGTTTAACATGATTATTGTGATTAGAAAGCTTCAGTAGTTCAGCGGAAATCAAACCTCCTGTGGTATCATTGTCACACAAAGTACAATAGTCACTACCACTGAATAACACATCTTTTATCCCCAAAGATTCTCGAAGCATAAGAAAGTCACCTTTTCCATGCTGTGAGTGAGAGGGATAATTCCTTCCAACACTAGGGCTCTCAAGGTTGTCTTTAATTATTTCAGAGAATTTCGGGCCAACAGTATCATCAGCATGGTTTGGTGCAAACAATAGTCCTGGCCACATCTTTATCTCTTCTGCTCTTATGTACCTGATGGGGACATACTGCTGGCTTGGACCTGAGGCAAATGCAAAGTTTTCTTCTGCAGTAACCACATCTGTACTTCCCGTAGGTTCCAATGAGATCTGGGAAATCAGTTCTTGGGTGTTTAGATCAAAAACTCTATCTGCATTCACTTTGCTTGAGTTGCTGGCCTCTTCTCTTTCAAGCTGGCTACAAGCCTCATTCAGTCCAACCCAGTCCTAATGAAAGCATCAGTAACTTGGGGTCATTTTGCATAGTTACTCCAAAATAACTTTTCTTTCTTTATATAGCTTTGGCACAATAACCCAGATGTTTAGTGCAAATCCAACAGGTAAAGTTAGAATAATAGGGTAAAAACCTAGCAGCTAATTTCACAAATTTTTACAAGAATTTTTACAAGATTACACCACTAGAATATAATGCAAGCTGCTGGTATCACTTTGGTTTGGAAAAGGTGCACCTTTTGCATTCACTCTGAGCTGGGAGCCACTGAAGGAGTTCCACTTCTAAGGAGCAAGAGGCTGGACAGAAGCTCTGGTGGTTAACTAGTATGTGGAAGCAGCAAAATGAGAAACTATAACCTTTTAGGAAGATCAGAATCATGTATCAGTAACTCTGCTCAGGAGCTAGAATTATTAATCCCAGAAAAAAATCCTCCTCTCATAAACGGAGGGTCATAAGAAAGAAATGAAATTTATTTCTTACCTTAAAATTCCCATTGTGCAAACTATAGAGTGGCTGAAAGAAAGCAGCTGGCGTGGGAATGTTAAAGCAGGCGAGGCTTTTTGCCCTAAAGTGAGAAAACACCACTTAAAAAAAATAGAGTTTTTCTGTGCTCCGTCTCCATGATACTGGCTAGATGAACCCCAGCCCACTTTGTTACTAAGATTGCACAAGAAGCCCACTCATCATAATTTCTGACTTCTCGTGCAATTATTTTTCTGCCACCTGTGCATGCATTTAATGTTTCTAACCTGAAGCACAGTCTCATAAGTTCATTTGGACTATGCCACAAACTTAATATACTTGTCTACTACTCATTATATACACTGAGCTATTTAAGCATTTGTTTATCAGCTTACTTGATCTAAACCACTGTTTCTGAAAGTATTTTAAAGAGTTCTGGTTTCATTACATTTAAACAGAGAAATTCTGCCAGACATTCTTGCCCCTTTATTGGAGTCTATCCTATAAAAATATTTTATCATGTGGACATAATGTGTTCTGTTTCTCTACAAAAGATGTGTATATGGAGCATAATAATATATGTCAAGGTAAAAAAGAAAGAGGTACCTATCCTCTGCCAGAATAAAAAATTGCAGAGGATTTTTGAACCAAGGTTCTGAAACCACTTTTTTCTCTGTGCAACTTGGTCTCAAATGAATCAGAGTCAGTTTATTTTGCCTTTATTGGTATTTTACTTACTGACTCCTGCCAGGAATATCACATGTAGCTTAGCATTGACATTCGTTTAACAGCCTTTATGGGTTGCTGTGTACTTGCACTTTTAATTTATCTACATGAAACTTCAAATATTTCCATGTGCTTAAATTTCTTTAACTTTAAGATACCATCATCCTTGGACTTCAGCCAAATTTGGGAGTCTCAAAGGTATTTTGGTCTCCTTAAGGACTGTATAGTGTGTCATTAACTATCATCAGCCAAGGAACATGTCACATTCCAAGATTGTCAGAAGACCTTTTGGAAATTACTGAGTCTGTGCAGCAGAAACAGGAAGAAAAAATAATGTAATGACTCTTGATTTACCCTTTTCAGGCCATAAAGATCAAGGGGAACTTATTGAAAATCACATACCTTGAGGAAAGCTTGCAGTTCCAGAATAAATAGAGTAGAGTGCCAAAACTCAGAGGAATGAACAAGTACTGCATAGTTTTGATATTTAGAATCTTTTCCGAGACTTTGGGGACATCTAGAAAAAGAATCAGCACAAAATTTTTTAATGAAAAGTCTGGAAGTCAAGATAGAACCCCAAATAACCAAGGATTGCAAATGAAACAGGCAGCTAAAGGCCTTAAGGAAAATAATTTGGCTATGAATAATTGAAGAAAGCTAGCTCTGATTTGAAAAGCTTCCTTTTACCTTTTTTTTTTTTTTTTTTTTTTTTTTTTTTTTTTTTAACATGGACATTAAAAGAAACAAAATGAGATGAATATTCTTTGTACCTGCTCTTTTTAACACTGTCGTCTGGCTCCACTCACTCCATTGACTGTGGTATGAATTCTCATTTTCAGAAACTTTGCAGCGAACTCTTGCAGCATAAGCAATGCCACTGCGAAGCTCTGTGGCTTCAATTTCTACTTGTGGAAGTGAACTGGGCAGTGTCTTGTTCATTGCAACCTGCAAAGTATTACAAAGCATTGCTGTTAATGAGATTGGGCAAAAGGATGGTCTTTTAAATACTCTTTTTTTGTTGGTTTTTCCCTTCTCTGTTCCATGTTTTCTTTTTTTTAGATGCAAGAAGAGGGCCTGAATAATGATGCAGGGTTCATAAGAAGGAGAGTTATTGAACTTCAGTATTGATGTTTAATGTAAAATCTCTCAGCCTTAGTATGGGAAACCAGAAAGGCCATCTTAAGCCAGCTGGCGGAGCTCAGTGGCAAGGCCATTGTACCCGAAGAAAAAGGTAGGATCACTGTATGCCTCATCCAGTTACCTCCCAGGACATGCTGTACTCCTTATACTGCAACTCATATTGGAGAATTTCAGCGAGGTACCAAGGCACATTCCACACACTCCACCATATCTGGCACTTGCTGGCAGTGGCATTGCTCTGGATGTTCAAAGGTGGATCAAGTTTTACTACAAATAGAGGAGGTGAGGTTTTTTTCACAGTGTTTGGGACACCACAAAAGAAAATGCATGATATTAGGGTGACTGAAATAATGGAAATAAAGCTGAGTCTAAAGAGGGATACTAACACTAGCAGTAGACCAAGTTAGCTTACAGCATCAGAACAGCTACAGATCTGACATAAATTAAGGATAACTCCAGTAGTCCCTAGGGTTAATCTTGCAAGCAAAGAACCACTCTGGATATCACTTTCTGCCCTTACAACATACCACAAATACGGACAGGTTTTGAGAATTTCTCCCTGGTACCAGGCCATGGGACACTCCGTTAAAATCTACGACTCCTCATTACATAATTTCTTAGAGAAAAATAAAACAACAAAACGAACAAATAATTGAAGCAATCCAATTGCAAATTACCCCGGGCACAAGAAAACATGATGCAGATGAGAAGTATTGTTGAATGGTGCTCCAGAGCCAGCCCCTCTGAAGTCTGGGAAAAGTCAGGATGGAGAGACTCAGCGACTGCATCCTTACTGGTGCAGTCCACACAGTGCAATCTCTGGGGATGGGCAGACTTGATTGTTTTCATTGTTTTCCCTTGCTATCTTTGAGACATCCTTTGTTAGGCAGCATATCAGACCTATCCTGAAGCTGCTGGGCAGAGCCTCAGCTCTCAGCTGTCCTGGTTCATACTTACTGTGCTTGCGGGGATTGTACTCTAGAAAGGCCATGTATGTCTGATTACATCCAAAGAAGTTTCCCTGGAGAGAGACTCTATAACCATCTGTTTCCAAGATCTGGCTGGCTAGATGAATTGTGCAGTGGTACTGATTCTGCATGCTCTCTGTGGCAGTCAGTTTGCAGCTGGCGTTGTGGCCCTTTGACCAGAGGCTAGAAGAATAAAAAGGCTGAAAGTTTCTTTTAAGTCATACAATTTAAGTGCTTTTCAGTTTATGCATATGTGGCACCTTAGCACAGCACCACACTCTGGAAGACCATGAACCTCTTTAGTGCAGACAGCAAGCAAACCAGCTGGCTGGATGGATGGCAGGGCTGGATAGGAAGAAGACACCTTTATAACCTTACTGCTGAGAGCACCAGATCTCATGGAAGCTGCACATAGCATCCGGTAGCTGTTCCCTACTCCCTCTGAAAGTGAGAGAGCTGCTGTCACTGCAGGAAAGCAGGTGGGTTGGGGGAAAGAGTGGATGGACAGTTGGTTACAAGTGCATAGCACAAAGGTAACAATAAGCTGTTCATTAAGTCCTCTTTCACTACAAACAAACCACTACTGACAGCAAAGTATATTCAAAGATGCTTTGCCTTTTTGTGGTTTAGCCACTTGTTAGCAATTTTTTCACATTGCATGTGATCCCACAGGAAACTGGGATATCACAGTTTATCAGCTTGCCCATCTTTCCATAGATTTAAAACCTAGTATTAATAAGAGTTAGGCTATTTTTTACTTAACCGTAGCAGAATATAAGGCATCTAACTCAGAGTGGCTTACCGTCATATAATAGTTACTGGTGGTCAAGTCAATGTTTCTACATAACCTAAATACATTAAACTCAAGTTATCCTATCAATTAGCAAACTATTCACCTGATTTCTTCTATTAGAGGAAAAATTATTCAGATAATATTCTAAATCTATTTAACTATTCAGATAATATTCTAAATCTCTTATTAAAGATTATGACTTGTATTTATATATATAATGTACATTAAACCATTAGGTGTTTAATTTCTAGGCAAAAAGGAAATAAATTATTAGAAGTTGATTAGACAGCTTTACATAGGATGGGCTCTGGAAGTTCCCAGGTCATGGGGACCCAGAGGCCAGGAAGGAAAGGTTTTCTGCTCTGAGATGCCTGCCAGAATGGTTCACTGAACAGGTGGAGAGCCCACAGCTGACGGGAGACCATGCAGCCATGTGCACTTGACTGCTGTGGCCCCTGAGGCTGTTGTACCACAGGAGAGAGCAGCTTCTGAGGCCTGGGGTGATGGGGTGGCAGAGCTAGCTGTGCCACAGGTCTCCTGCTGTGGAGGGAGTAAAGCCCACAGCTGGGCTCCATCTCTGCTTCTCAGTTCTGTCCTGTCCAAGCCAGCGCTGGGGCTACCACAGACAGCTCTTGGTGTGCAGCTCTTACTTGGTGAAATGCAGGTGGAAAGGTCCATTGCCCATGGGCTTCTCCGTTACCCACATGCAGCTCACGGTAGTCATGTAGTTATTCAGGCAGCTTAGGCTGCCAGAGAGCTCTGCAGAGGAAGGAGACCAGAACTGGATTCATATATCACTGGATGATGCCTTGCTCAGCACACTAAATAAATGCATTACTTGCTAGTACTTCCTTTGCTGACACTGCATCAGATCTTCCTCATCATGTTCTTACTCTGTTGTAACACACTTCACTGCATGAGATGAGTGTAAGATCATAGGGCAGGGACCTTGGGCAGTGGCTGCACTTTTTCTGGTGCCCAGGTTGTCCTGGCTCAGTCCCCTAGGCCTGGCATTGTCAGCCAGCTGTACTGGCTCCTGGGACAGGGTAGTCACAAGACCTTGGATTCCATACCAAAGGGTCTGTGAATGAAAAATGAGCACAGGTGTGTGCCTGTCTTTGTGCAGTGGACCTATTCCAGATCTCCTCTTACCTCTCCCTCTTCCTCCACCAAAGAGCAGCGCAGCAGCAATGCACAGCTGGAGCCCCAAATGCCACACAACTCCTCCCATTCCAGATAGTATCTAGAACAGAATAATAATTCAGACCAGTTTTGTTGGTATTTCTACCAGTGGGTTGAAGCGTTAGCTGCATACTTCTGCCAGCCTGACAAAAGCTGATCCTGAATCTGTCAGAAAGGGCACCAACTCAGCTATATAATTCCTTCTATAGGAACTGTTCTTCTCATAGCAGTAAATAGTACTTTGCACTAAAGCACCACCTGCCTGAAAGGAAATCTACAATTCCTGCAATTTTATCAAGGGTGGGAGAAGGTGTGGGTGTTCTATCTTTCTTTCTTCCTGCATTTTTGTCATCTGGTTTGTGACAATTGAAGAGCAGCAGAGAGCCACAGTGGGTTGGAACCAATGTTTATGTTTTCCCAAATCCTGTTTCTGACCATAGTCAAAACCAGATGCTTAGAGAGAATCATAGTAATAGAGCATCCATGCTTCTCTCTGAGCATTCTCAGCCTCCAGACATTTGCAGCTCACAGGCCTCCCGGAGCAACGTTATTTCTGCATATTCAGAAAACGGACACAGAGAATAACTGATATGATCCTGGTCAAAGCACTCATTGGGAGATATAGAATACTTAGGGCCTAGTCATTATCCCAATTCACTGAAGGCTTATGCAAGGATGTTTGGAGAACATCTTCCACAATATGGGACTCTACATCTCTACAAGGTTATTGTGGGCTCACTCTCTTTCTTTTTAACCAAAAATTCAATTCTCGGAATTGTCTCCTGATGAAGTTTTAATTTAAAATTACACTTTTTCACTAAAAGTTTCTGATTTGATGATTTTTTGGCAACATGTAATATGAAGAATATGGACCTGATCTATGTAGCAATATGTGGTGTTTAAAAAAGATGTTTCCAGTTTGCATTATTTGCTGTTACCTGAGCACAGCAAATGAGCCCAACGCCACTGCAAGGAGACGGCTGCTCCAAAGAGCCTGAAACCCAGAAAACTTAGAGTGAGTTTGTAGACAGAGACCACTAATCAGTATAAACAAAAACAGTTTCTTGAAAGTTAAAAACAATATTGAAGGAACAATGTTTGCACTACTTGACTAGCACAGACACTGAACAGAGCTTTACAACTGGGGTAACAAGAGGGTGGAATGTTCAGTCTCAAAAGAGCTTGGGTTAGTTATTATAAGAAAAAAAAGAAAAAACAATACCAAACAAAACTTGCCAGAGATTATGATCTCTCTCTTTCAGAAGAAGCTGGGGAAAAGGGAAGGAGTGTCAGGATAGGAGAAAAAATAAGTACAGCATTAGCACAGGACCAAGGGTATATAGCCCGACTTTAGAATAATATTATGATTTCTAACCAACAAAGGATCTGAAGCAGTCTTGAATAGAAGCGTGCGAGAAAAACCCTATGCTTAGCAAGGGCTGTGATATAGTAATCATTAGAATTGTTTTACTGAAGAGATTAAGCGACCTGATCCATAACCAAGAATATCCTTCCAGTCATGAATTTCACAAAGCTAGACAACAGCATCCATGTATAACTTCTTGCATGTGATTATGCCTGACTATAGTTCCCCTTGTCTGAATTAAATTGTAAAATAATTACAATGTTTCAGAAACTAATCAAGAGAAAAGGAGTATTTCTGGCTTTCATTTCACAACGTCTTCAGTTACAGGTTTTTAAAAAATACCCTGTTTTGCTGCAGACTTTCTTCAGGGTGGGGGTTGTTTAGAGGAAGTGTCACCATTAGCTGATTTTAGTAGGGAGGCTGGGAGGCCTCTTGTGCTTATCATTCTAATCAGGTTTGCTTATGGTCCCTGTGATAAATACAGTAATTCTGACTAAATATGAAATAGAGAGAGGTGCATTAAGTAGAATTATTCATGTGCTTACAAGAAGTTGTGTTCAGGCACACAAGCAAACAAACTTAGGTCAAGATAAGTAAACCAGGACAGAATGTTTCCAGGTAGTTGCTACTAATTTGATAAACTCCCCCCACTCCCACGCAAGAAGTTCTTTGTTCAGTTCTGCAACATTTGAAATGTGTTAGACATTTCTGGCTCTCTGGCTCTCCTGGAAGCAAATACAGCATGTTTAAATGCAAATTTTTGTGTTAGAAGCCATAAACGTTAGTCATAATTAGGTCACGGAGCACTGAATTCTGAAAGACTTACCAGAAAATAATTTCAAGAAGTAGCACATAACCAGCTGAATGAGATTCTGCAGTACATTAATACAATTAGAGGAGCTAACATACAGACTGTGGATACATATAAATTAAAAGAAAAGTTATTGCAGCTACATGTAGCATTAGAAACACTATTAATTTCTTCTGTTGGAATCAATGCTTTAAATAAAAAATTGTTGTCAATATGAAAATGCTTCTGAAAAGGGAGGTGTGAATGATTTAGTCCTGGATAACTTTACTCAGAAATCAACAGTTATAGACCAAGTAAATCTTTTTAACTTAGCCAAAGGAAAGGCTAAGTAGTCATTTCACACCAGCCATAAGTACCTTACATGAGAAGATGATTTCAGGTAGGAGAAAAGTATTTTCTTATTTTTTAAATCTACGAGAGAAATATGGAAAGAGTCCGGTAGTTGGACACTGAAGGTAGATACAATTAGACAGAAATGAAGAATTTTTACAAAGGGGAGCCATCTTTATTGCTGAAACCTCTCGCCTAAACGTATGCAAGACTTGTAGTCCTCCTATTAGCTCAGAGGGAAGCCCAGTACTAGCAGTGCAGGTAGAATTACAGCAGCTTCTAGCAGTGGAAGAAAAATCAACTTCTTAGCTGGATGTCTTGGGGACCAGACTACTGCTGCTTTCTTGTGTTCTAATGCCCAGTTTCTGCAGCACTGCAAAGTTGTGGGTGAAGGCAGAAAAGCTGTACGAGAACTACAAAGAAAGAAAGGAGAACCACCTTCACTCTGCAGGAAGAGACAAAATTTCTGAGACGATGCCCTGAAATGATACATCAGGTATGCTGCCAGCAGTCTATCAGCACCAGGAGGTGGTAATGACCTCGATTTCCAAAGTGGTCTCAAGTTGGTTCCAATGGTGTTTCCATCCTTTCTGTATGTTTCCAGGGAAGAATTCTGCCTGTTATCTGCTCAAGGAAATGAGGCCTTGTATCTGTGCCTTTCCCCTCCCCTCCTGTGGTTCCTGTCTACACTTCCCAAAAGCAATTTTAAGTAATTTTAACCAGAATTTGTACAACACAGATTTTCCAAATGCTTTCAACTTCTTATTAACAGAAAGACAGATGACTGACTGCTATTGCTAAATCTATCACCAGAAATTAATATTCTGGGATTTACCCCCAGATTTGGGGTCCAGTTGAATATATAATAAAACAATAACATTTTCTCATAAGAATTTATAAGGTAAAATTAATTATTTGACAGATACCACTGAGAGAGGAAGTAGTGCAAGCAGTTGACAACACAGTCTCAGCATGTGGGTAGCCTAGATATCATCTAGGTTTCAGAAACTCTGTAAAGCAGAGCTTTACAGGGAGACTTGAGGAATAAGGTTGATGTGGCCCAAGAGAATTGTAAGCAGCACCTTCAATGTGTAAGCAGTAGTATGGAGGATGATTGGGAGAAGTAGATTTAATGATCTAGTTAAACATAACTCTAACATCATAGAGCTAACGTCTAGATAGGGAAGTGAGAGATGACAGGAAGACAAGAAGAAGCTGTCAGTGACTTTAAAAGTGGGGACAAGAAGCTTATGTTTGATGAGATAGAGAAAAGAGATAGAAGAAATGTGTAGATAAATGTAATGGGCTCAAATGGATGGACATAAAATAGGATTTTTGTGTCTCTGACTCTTGGATGGCTACAAGTAAGATCAGTTTACAAAAGCCTGATAAAACATGAAGTAAGGATTTTGCATGGAGATACGTGCATAAGATTCTTCAATATGCTTGGGGTATCCTCTGATACATATGATATTATATGCCAGCCCATAGCAGACAGCTGGGAGTTCTAGGCTTTATTCCACTTCTGACATCAACATTTTTATAAGGTATGTTGCTTAATCAATGTAAATTTTTCTTCTTGCAGCTCATTCACATGATCTTCTATACTCACCTAAATCTCAGAGAAAGTCAGAAACTTCAGGCTCTGATTTGGCAGTGGCTCTGGACTCTTTCAAAATGTGTTTTGCTTGTTCTCGCTCCCAGAGCAAGATTCTGATATTGATAAGACACTTGACAAGGTCTAGCAATGCATGTTTGCAGCCCAGAAAGCACGTTGTATCCTGGGCTGCATCAAAAGCAGCATGACCAGCAGATTAAGGGAGAGGATTCTACCTCTCTACTCTGCTTTTGTGAGACCCCCACTTGCAGTACTGTGTCCAGTTCTGGGGTCCTCAACATAAGAAGCATGGAGTTGCTAGAGCAAATCTGGAGGAGGCCAAAGAGATGATCAGAGAACTGGAGTCCCTCTGCTATGGAGACAGGATGAGAGCTGGGCTTGTTCATCTTGGAGAAGAGAAGGATCCAGGGAGAACTTAGAGTCCCTTCCAATACATAAAAGAGCTATAAGAAAGCTGGAGATGGGCATGTAGTGATGGGGCAAGGGGGTATGGCTTCCAATAAGAAGAGGCCAGGGTTATATGGGGTATTGTGCAGAAATTTTTCCCTGTGAGGGCGATTAGACATTGGCACAAGTTGTCCAGAAAAGACATTCCTACCCCATCCCTGGCGGTGTTCCAGGTCAGGTTGAGTGGGGCTTGCAGCAACCTGGTCTAGTAGAAGCTGTTGCTGCCCATGGCAGAGGGTTTGAAGATCCCTTCCAGATGAAGCTATTCCAGAATTCTATGATACAATGAGTGGTGCACAGTGGGAGCAGACACAGCAGATCTGCACCCTTGAATGCTCAGTTTCCATTCCTTACATTTTAGCAATTAGTCATAAATGACTTGCTCTCCCGTGGCCATAATCTCTTCCTTTGCTTACGTCTCTTCCAGAGGCAGCACTAACAAGCACTAAAGATAAGACACTGACTAGCACCTACAAAGTAAAACAGTGACAGGCAATAGCATGTCTGTACCAACAGGTACACCCCTTCATCCACTAAGATTACCCAAAGTGCAGAGTCTCCAGAGCAATCTGTCATGCTAGTATGTGTAATAGGAGGGGTACCCATTGCAAACAATCATCCCTGCCTATAAGAAAATACTTTTGTAGGTCCTTAAAGAAAAATTAGTGATACCTTATCTACCTTCTGAATATCTAGGCCTCTAAGCACACGTTTGACAGAAACACATCAAATGTGCACAACAGGGTCGCATGAGACTTATCCTGGGGAATAAGGAAAAGGTAGTTGGATTTTCTTATCTGCACAGATTATCCAAGAGAACCCCATATAACAAGCCTTTTTCTCTCTTCATCTTTAGAGAGCCATTTTCCCAACAATTTGATGCCCACAAACAGCCACGTACTTTTAGATGTGATATACTTGGATCCCAGAAAGAAAGCTGCTTCAAATGATGATTGCAATAAAGCAATATTCATACACACACACACATATATATACACATACATTTAAAAAGTATGCTCATGTCTGCAAAGTCCCAAACACTAAGGACTATTTTGGCTGGATTCCTTTACATTCATCTCTTGCAGTCAGAGAGGAGTACCTTGTTCAAGATGGCTCTTCTTTCAAGCACAATCCATCAGAATTATTGCAACAGTGGTGTTTTGTGCTCAGCAAACGACCAGAACAGAAGTGCAAAGACACTTCTGATCTTCAGGCTCCTAGTTCAAGAAACAATATAGAATTCCACAGTAGACGTGCTCAGTAGACGTCCCCTAACATTACATACTGGAATGCATAGAACAGAAATATGGTAAACTGTCTTACCAGCAAAAAAGAAATGTCACTTTTCACCCTGCTTCTGTCCCTTGATAGTTTAAGCTGTGTGGTTTGATGATCAGGCAGTAGCAGCAGTGGCATAATAAAACAGAGCTTACTGTGCCTGATTTTAAAGATAATCTCAAGAACCAATGAAAAACTGCTCTGATTATCAGATTGAGTTAAAGTAGCTATATATGTAACTTCTCATTAGTTATGGAGAAACAGGAATTTCTGCTAAAGGGTTAACATTTAAAAGGGCAAGTAATTTGCTGAATAGAAAAGTGTCTGCTTGCAACTTTTATATAAATAGGTCAACAAAATAACTTTCTAAGTGACCTAAAGCCATTTCCTAGCCCTGTTGGATGTGGGGCTAAACTGCTTCCAGCCAAGACCTGTGCCCAAATGTGCTCAGACCCCTGCAGCATCCCTGAGCTTCCCTGCCCTGTACTTCTTCCACAGCTGATTGCTGCACTGTGCTCAAAGGGCAGCTCTGGAAGCAAAGGCAAACAACCATTGCAGTGCTTCCTTGTCCTGATCCTAGAGTGTGTAAGGAACAGATCTTCCCATGCCCAGCAGCAATGATGCAATGGCAGTGTTACAGCCAGGAATCCATCAAGTCAGTCCTGTACATGGGTCTAGTGAGAGAACAGAGAGAGAGAAGCAGTCAAAGAACAGACTAACAGTGTGTCAGTATCAGCTTCTGGGGCCAAGAGACAGGGAGGCAGGGGCCATGCAGAAATGGAGATGGACATTTCCAAACTGGTAATCAGACTGGATTGTGGTGCTTCTCCCAGTACGTGCTTTTTGACCCTATTGTTCCTGGGGGAAAAAAAAATTCCAAATCAGAAGTGCTAGATCAGGGACATTTGCAGTTTGCTCGTAAGAGGCACTGAAAACCCCCCACCTCAATCCCCTCCACATTCACAGTGACAACTCCCTGACCAAAAGCTTAATTGTTATACATTGCTTCAAAGGAAACAACTTCCATTATTTTAATACCCTTGTGTCACACACTTGTTCATGAAGTCTGCCTCCTAGGGTGAGCAGAGATAATTTCCAGCCCAACATAACACCAAACCACCACCATCTATCAGATGTACAGCCAGATAGTGTTCCAGTAACAGAAACAGTTTCTTCAGCAGTTCTGTGGCTATCATTACAAATGGAAACAGAGCACACAGGACTGAGATGTAAAGGGCCCAGAAAAACAAGCAAGTTTCTCCTTTAAGCAGCCTGGGGTCAGTTACCACAGTGTAGCTTCTGAAGTGAAAAGAGCTGCAAGATGAAGCTGCAGAAGACTGTGCTGAGACCACCAGAAATGCTTCTGTCCAGTACACATTTGCATCAACATGATCACAATGCAAGCTGCCCTCATAGGATAGTGTGGGGCAGTCAGGTCTTCAGGGCAGTGAAGCTGGGGTGATTCTCTGCTGGATTCTCTGCTGCCTTGTGGAGGGCATGTGAGGGATCAGTAGCAGCAGGGAGCATGCATCAGCACATGAAGACAACTACTCCCATGACTTATCACAGCACATGACAAGAAAAATAGAAAATAAGGAGGGAAGAAACCAAAGAAGCTAATATATCTTAGAGCAGTACCCAGGAAGCCACTGAGCTAGGGATGTACTGGGGGAGTAATAACTACATGGACAAAACTAAGTCATTTAGGTCCAAAATCAACACAGCAAATACCATGGCAGATCTGAACAATCAAACCAGAGGATGTGGATGCAATGCAGTACTGTCCCAGTGCTCACCTATGAAAAAAACAGCTTCTACTTACTACAGTGCTCTCTCCAGTTTAGGGAGCTTGGGGTTGCCTATAGTCTCAGGTAAGAGAAAGGGGTGAGGGAAGGGAGTTTATTGGTATCACAGCAACAACAGATAATTACTACACTGCAAACATGCATCATTCACCACCAAGGTTCTTTCAAGATACGACCTTCTGGAGCCAAGCAGTCTATGGGTTAGTAGCACTATGTCTATGTAAGATGAAGGCCTTCACATTCAATTTCAGTATTACTCTTCAGTGACTTTTTAAGACATGTATCCTGAACAAATCAGAGATATGGAGATGCCAGAGAGAAAAATGGATTCAAGGTTACAGTGCAGTTTCATATTTGGCTTTATTAGCTAGCAGAAATTGCTCAAAATTTGTGCTACTGACCTGTTAACTGCAGCAGAGCAAGTCCAAGGCAGAAGTGGCAGGCATATGCAGGTAAGACAATGTTTCGATAATTGTGGCAAAATTCTAAAAGCTGCTCAATTAAAATGCTTGAGAAGTGCAGGGAGAGAGTCTGACTCAATAGAAAAGCCAAGTAGTGAGAGCTTGTTTAGAATTATATATATTTTGAAGTCTTTTCATTTGCAGACTCCACCTGGAAAATCTTTCTGAAACCTGAGTTGTGCTTAGTCTCTAGTACACACATTTCTGCAATGATTTCATAAGAATTAGGTTTGATCCCCATGGACCAGTCTGGAGCCAGTCTGTAATTAACAGACTATTACAGCTGAGTTTAAAGAGCCAAAGATAGTAGAAGGAAAAGTAACATCACATGTTGTTTGGAAAGGTAGGGGAACTATAACGTAGCAAACATGCTTGCCATGAGTTGTGATTCTAAGGTTCCATGTGCAGCCAAACTCTTAAGTCATGTGAGAACACCAGGGAAAATAAAGTTCTGTACTCTTTATAAGATTAAGGCAAAAAAAATTTTCATATCTATATAAGCCAAAGGATCATTTTCAAGGTACAGTTGCTTTTTTCTAACATTTTTTTTGACATCAAGGGAGGGTTGATCTATGATTCTAAAAAAAACCAAAACCCAACAAAACTCAGGAACAATCAATCACAACAAATTTGAGACATTAATAGGATAAGTGGGAATAGAAACAGGTATATTTCTGTGGACCTAACAGGTGTCAATTTATGCAATAGAGCTTACACAAAGTAAACTTTGTTTCTCTTCTGAATTTTGCTAGCAGTTTGCTCCTGGCACACTCTGAAAAAGGCCCCACACTCATGCAGTCCTTAGTTTGTCTGTGTCCCACTGATAGGGCTCTCAGAGCGGCAGGAGACCCATTGCTTGACGTAGCTCCGTGTAAAGTCTTGCCCCTCTTGCTCAAGAGGGATGGACCCACAAATGGTCTGACTGTTTTGCCCAAATTCAGAGTCAACTGGACTTCCACAGTCTGAGTCCACAAAGCCACTGTCAATAGTGTCCAAATCTACACAGATCAAAGGATAACTGTCACCAGGCTTTGTATTCTGAGGGAAGAAATCATAGGAGCCTTCACTGTAGGAAACACTTTCACCATCAGGAGAAGGTAGAGAACCTGGATTTTCCAAATCCCACTGATAAGGCTGCAAGCAAAGGGCTTCTAGGATGCTCCCCACCCCTCCTTCCACTTCCCTTTCTCCTTGCTGGTTGACTGGGACACTTGTGCTCCTCAGGTGGTCTGTGGACACAGAGCCTGAAGCAAGTATTTTGTCCTGTGTACTCAGATCAGCCAAATGTAAGTCACTGGATATCTTTCCGTCTTCCTCATCAAGGTTAACCTTGGGGTAACCGGGTTCTCCAGCACTATCATCTTCCTTGTCGGTACGGTCATGTTCCCTGTACACATGATTACAGCTGCACTGGCAGTTACAAGATGTAAATTCATCAGCCACAGTCACTGTATCAATTGACAAGTGCCCATATGACTGGTCCTCAGTCCCACCACTACTGTTTACACTGCACCACAGTGACTGGCTACCATGACCTGGGGTAGTCAGGCAAGACACACAGGGCTTGCAAGGCAGATTCTTTCTTAGCTCATGCAGCTCTTCCTGTGGTGTGCTGTTGGAAGGATGCATGGTGTAAACTTCTAGGACTTCTGGAAGGACTATTCCCCATTCAAAGAAATCAAAGGTCATTTTCATATGGGATGCACCAACCCACTTCTGCAGAAAAAGAAACATAGAGAGAGAGAGAGGTTAGGTTAGCATCACAAGGTTTGAGGTTCCACAGAAATAACCAAATTTCTTACACTTTTGGAGGCAAAAATTAAATTCACTGACTCCTCCAATATAACAGGAGGATGCTGTTGTTATGAGACATGGGCAACTGCAGGAGAATTAATTGAAGTAATTGAAAATAATCAGCTCTGAGAGCTTCCTCTGACACTCCCGACAGGATCCCAGGCTTCAGAAATCCCATGAACTCAGCTCACACATTGAGACAGCACTTACAGAGAATAAAGAGTATAGATGTAACATAAAGATTTTCATGGCACTGAACAGATACTGGAAAGCTCTGATTCTTATATCTGGAGATGTTTGGCATTGCTTTGAAATAGATTTCTCCTTCTACTGCCCTAATGAAAATCCCTTGCTCAGGACAGCATGATGGCCTTGTAGTTTGTCATGTACTCCACTCACTTGAGTAGCCCATTTATACCTTAAAATCTCCATTATGAGCCATGTAAAGAGGTTTGAAAAAGGGAGCAGGGTCTGGGATGCAAGCCATCTTCTTCCACAAGCTGGAAGAGAAAAGAGAAAGGCTTTGGGGTTTATCACACATTACAAATGCAAATCAAGGCATCTCTAGATCCATTTCAAGCAATTGGAATCACTTGCCCAGCCTTGTGAGTTAGCAAGCAGCTGAGGTTCCAAGGATGTCTTATGCTGCGCCAGAGTCATCTAATAGCCTTTCTTGTGAACCTCACTAGAGGTGAGACCTCAGCACTTGCACACACACACTCACACTGAGGTAAGAGGTTCCATTTTTTTTCATTCCTGGAAAAGCACTAAATGCTAGAAATGCATTTTCACTGAGGCTGAGCTGGTTTGTGGTCTGCAGGCCAGACCACAAACCTATGCAATTCTTCTGTGGACCTAGGCTGTGCCAGCCCTATTGCTGCACCAGTCCAGCCCTCCTCCATGTCAGCATCCCATATCTCTTCAAGGGCATAAGAAGCCTCTGAGAGGGAGAGAGGCCTCCAGCCAGCATTGAGGGACCTATGTCAGCTTTGGAAGGGGGCAGCTAGCTCTGGCTACTGTGCTCTATCTGGCAACGGCGGAGCACAGACAAGACCAGGGGAACAGCTCAGAAGGCTGTGTGGCCCTTGCTTCATCCCCATGTGCCACCATCTTGGCCCAGCCAGCTGAACGGCAACAGAGTCACAGAGAAAAGCAGGTCACTCGGGGCAGTACATCAGCCAGTGACCATTCTTGGCTGTCCCTAACAGGTTCATAGCTGCCCACTCATAGATATACAAGACTCAAGGAAGGCTGCATGTGAACACTCCATCTTTAACAAGACAGAATAAAAGCATTAACTTCTGCCTCCTGAAGCATTCTTACCTCTGCTGTTTGGCCAGAAATGTTGTGATTGAAGCCATGATTGCCACGACAATACCAAACAACAGCCATTCCATGCCTGCTGTCTGTGTCACTGCTGGAGAAAGAGACAAGGTCATTCAGGCTCACCTTGCATTTATATCCTGATCAATAATCAGGAGATGGTGAGGGGAAAAAGGGTTTTTGGAATGCAAATTGCTGTCAAGCATTGGAATGGACTGCCCAAGCAGAGGGTGGAGTCACTGTCCTTGGGGATCAAGAGACTGGACATCGCTCTTACTACTATGGTCTAGTTGATTAAGTGGCCATCAGTCAAAGGTTGGACCTGATAATCTTGAGGTCTTTTCCAACCTAAATGATTGATTTCTACCCCAGATTCTCTCACTGGGATACTGAGGCTGTCACCTGGGCATCTGTACTCCAGACAGGTTTGATTGAGGGTGCTCAATGATGACTGCATCAATGAAAGGAGCAGCACATCAGCTGCCCTATGACTTGGCTGCACAACAGACAGCCAGCAGTTAGGGCAGGACAGCTCCTTCCCACAAAGACCCCTGGTGTTCTGACTCCTGGTTAGGGAGTCTCACAGCTCTCCACCTGTGATGAAAAGCAGCATCTTTGAGATCCAGTACTCAGATATCCCTTAGCAAATGGAGCCTGGCCATGCTGCCATTGCACCAGGTAAACTCTGTAATACATCAGTTTGAGCTGCAGAGCAGTGAGAGCAGAGAAGCTCAGCACATACTGCTGGCAGCGATCACAGTAATTTTGCACCTGCTCTATTGGAGCGAAGGCTCCTAATTTTCATAGTCTCTGTTCCACCATGACAAGCATCAGTGTACTTCCATATACTGTGAACTCCCTGCAGAGTACTGCAGAGTGGTGGCTACCAAACAAAACATCCATACCCACCATGACCCAACATCACAGTCCAGACACAGAACTCAGGTTTGAGAGCAGGATCCCCCTTCCCTCAGCTGAAGACAACACTAAGACCCAGTAGAGGAGATCTCTCCCATTTCTGAAAGCTGCAAATAGGACCCTGGACATTTGACACTGAAAAGGAAGCTAGAGGCTGCACTCCTGCAAGTGGTATCCAAATGTACAGCAGCTCCACAAAACACTCTTTTTTGCCACACAGTGAGAACGTCAATACTAACAGCCCAGGCCTGGGGTTCACATAAGCAGTAAGGAAGCTAACCATACCTGTCTTCACGGGACTGTTTAAAATTTGTTCTAATTAATTAGATTTTATTAAATTTCTGAAAGCATTCTCTGACACTGGACTAATTGAAAGGGCAAGGAGATCTGGCAGCATGTACCGGCAGGGTTGGTTTTCAATGACAGCGGAGAACTCCATTCACTCCAAAAGCCACCATAGTCACTGTTTTCCCGGGGTCTAGCTCTCACTTGGAACTCGTACTCAGTGTCCGCCTGTAGTTCCCATGGCAGGATCACCAATGTCCGTTTATCTTCATGAACAGCTTTAGTCTTCTGAGTCTGTGAATGATTAAACACCAAACACTAGAGTGACTGCTCTTACTTTGCTCACACTGCTGCACAGTGAGGATGCCTACAAGCTAACCTCTTCTGATTTTATGTTGTTTCTGCAAGGCCATGCTCTGACTGGTCAGCAGCTACATGCAATCCTGGGGGAACCTTCCAGGCAGGACAGCATGAGAATCAAATCAATTATCGGTCTTCCTCACAGGATCTAATACTTCTCACACAGCTTCTGCATCTCAATTAATTTTTGGATTTGCCTGTTTTCAGCCCAGTCAAGCAGAGAGACTTTTTTTCTAAACCATGAAAACCCTTCTTTCCCACCAGTGCTACTGTCTTAGTTGTGCTGGCCTTCTCTTTTCTGGTACACCCTACTTGATGGTAAACTGACATCTCACTTACCTCCCAGGTGTCAGTTCTTCTTTTGTAACGCAGCTGATATTCCAGCTCCTCATTCAAAAAGTAGAAGGAAGAGTTCTGGTAGATGGTTTCCCAAGAAATATTGTAACCCTCTGAGAACAAAGCGGTCAGGTTGAATGGAGGCTGTGGTTTTACTGAAAGACAGGATGGTGTTACTACAGTTAAGACATGGCCCAACATGGTAACAGCAATGCAGAGTGAGTAGGGAACAAAGCTGCCCTAGCAGTGGTGGGCCTTGCTACGCTAGAAAACATCCACAGCATTCCTGCCCTCAGCCATGCATGGAACCCCACGTGTGAGGAGTATAATGAAGTCAGGACCACATTTCTCTGAATATATCTTCTGCTTGTCTCTGAAGCTCCTCACTGCCTATGGAGAAGGAAAGATAGTACACAGAGCTAATAAACTCCTGGGAGATTATGTAAAATGTAGAGCACCTTGTTCTTCTCATGACATAAAAGAACTTTGTGTAGTCATGATCACTCATAAGGCTGGGGAAATACCCCTCAATGTAACAGAGTCATGAGGAAAAGCTGAGGCTAGGAGACACTGCATAAACCCACTGCAATTCCATGCCCCATCTGCTCAAAAAGCAAGCTTCTGTATCCCTGCAGGGAGTGTTCATATATTGAAAAGCAGTAATGCAAAACTCCAGCAGTCTGCAGGGCCCACTGCTGAGCTATGATGCCTTTGGATGAGGGCCTCTAGGAGATATGCAAAGCACCACTACCCAATCTCTAGTCTGTCAGTGGGAGCAAGGAAGCTTCCTGAAATGTTAAGGCATTTGTCAAAAAGATGACACTTCTCAAGTAAAGTTTCAGAAGAAGCAAAATAGAAAAATCCTTTTCCTACATCTGCCTGGTACCCATCTGCCTGGCTCCCACTCCTTTTTTTTCACAGTTTGATACACAGCCCAGAACTTACCAGCATTCCACCAAGTCAGCTACATGATTGCATTCAGTCTTCGTGTCATGCAGAAGAAATGATTAGGAATTGCCCCAGAAAGGGGAACTGCCACATCCAGTACATCTGGGAAACCTTGTGCCACCCAAAATAATGTCATGTTGGTTCAGGTGTCCACTGCAAAAGCCTTTTGGGAGCCTCCAGCTCCTTGGACATTACAAGAGAGCTGTAGAAAGCCTTTTGACAAGGGCATGTAGTGATAGGACAAGGGGGAATGGCTTCATACTGACAGAGGACAGGGTTAGATGGGATATCAGGAAGAAATTCTTCTCTGTGAGGGTGGTGAGGAACTAGCACAGGTTGCTCAGAGAAGCTGTGGCTGCTCCATCCCTGGAAGCATCCAAGATTAGGTTGGATGGGGCTTGGAGCAACCTGGTCTAGTGGAAGGTGTCCCTGCCCATGGCAGGGAGTTGAGCTGAATGATCTTTAAGGTCCCTTCCAACCCAAACCATTTTAAGGATTCTGTGATTTGTGACATTTGTTATAAAGTAATTCCTCCTGCCCTTTAGAATCCAGCCAAGAACAAGCTCTTGCATAGCCTAGGTATGAGACTGGTCTAAGGTGGATATTTATCACCTACTGCTTCATGGGGAAAAGGAATTTCCACACAAAAAGCATGGAACAAGCCAGCTTGAAGCTCAGCTTCAAGCATAATAGCAATAATAAGAGTACAGTGCTTTCTGTAGATGAATGTACAGCAAACATAGCCCCACACTGTTTGCTGCCCTCTCACTCCTTGTCCAGACTATCCTAGCACATAAAGTCAAAAAGTATTTATGGATTTCACCATTTTTGTACTTACTGTTGTCTGACAAATAAAATTCTTTGGAAAGAACATGCTGCCTATCAGCTATCTCTGTAACATCCACCTGGACTTTGGTATCTGCTAGGAGTTCAGTCATGTCCACAGTGCACATGTACTGTGTGTGACTGGTGTTTCTTGACAATTGCACGAGACTGCAGGCAGCCACAGTATTTTCTGGATCTTCCTCAGGAACCCTAAAAAAGTCAAAACAAAGAAGTCTGCATGTAGTTGGATTAATTTGTTGCTGAACCACCAGACACAGGAAATTATTAAAATGAAAAATCAACGTGTTCAAATAAAAAATTATCTTTGAACTTCAAAACATATTTTTTTCCCCTTCTACTTGCTCAGCTTAGCATCTTTGAGAGAAATGGGAAAGTGTTTCTGGAAAGGAAAGGTGCTCCTCAGGGCTACACAGCCCAAGACTGCATCCACTTCCTTGCTGGGACAGAACAGCAGCAGACTGGACAATCTACATGAGCCCTGCCAATGCACAGAGGTGAAATTTCACTTTTAACAGCAGCAAAGGGCAAGGTATTCCCATGGTAGCAGAGAAGGCAATGCTAAGGAAGCTGGAGTCAGCAGAGCAGTCAGCAGCAAGAAGCAGAGTCAGTGCAGACAGGAACCGGGGGTCCTTTGCTAGGGAAGAAGTCAGTTTGTAACTGCAGTGAAAAAAACCAAGTAAAAAACCAGCATGGCAGCAAAACCAGGATTTCTACCTAACAAAGAGGACAGAAGGTCACCACTGTGCTAGGGCCATATAGAAGCTCCTGCTAACTGGACTTTGCTCATCCCACCAAGACATACCATGTAGCAGTGAGATTGTATGAACCAGCACCCAACTCAGCTCGCAGGATACAGGACAGGGTCTGTACATAGTCCACAAAACAAGTGAGGCTTTCACAACACATAGCTGTAGGTTTGGAAAGAGAAAACACAATATCAACTTCTGTGATAAATCAACATATGCACTCCTCAGGGTTCCCACTGCATGTGAATGAAACAGACCAGTCTCTGACAACCGCCCTCCCTCCCACTGAAAGTCTCCAGTTTTGGGGCATAAGACATGTTCCAACTCTACAGGGTGACAAATCATTGACGGCAAGATAAGTGTCAAACAAAAACCTATTCAAAACGCTGTGGCAGCCAGAATCAGGAAATGCCCAAATTGCAACTCCTGTAGAATCACTACAGCAGAGTCACGTATTTCTGCAGGAATCTTAGCTTATATGGCACATAAAAGAGGCCTGAAACCCAGTAAGAAACAGTAGCATATTCAAACATTTTAATGATACCACTTTCTAAATTGAGTACTGTTCATTGCTAGTCTAGTTTTCATTGTACATCTACATAGCACTTTACACATTTTTTTCAAGTGCTATTTTAGTAATTTTTTCTTTGCCATTCTGTTTTCTAAAGCTTGATATATTTGTAGTTCCTATAATTTCTATAAAACATTCCAATAAGCACAATTTATTAATTACAGACTTCTCAAGAGAACTTGAAATGCAATTGTAGAACTTATACTGGTCATTAGGAAAATCAAGTAATTTTTTGAAAGTGGTCACAAAAGAGCATTTATACTCTTCTACTTGCTCTGCGAGAGCTCTGCTCAGAGAGTGTGTGCTTCGTAAAAGTACAATTGTCCTGTACATAACACACTTATCTCCCTGGATTTCAAGGCAGGTAAGATAGTAGCACAGTGAGAAATGTCTGCATTGATAAGTCCCCTCCTGACAGCTCCCTGGGCTGACAAGAACCACCACCATTACACTAGGAAATGGCTGAATGAGGAAAGGCCTGCAGGTGATGCAGCATGCCATGCTGGTTCAAACCATGCCTACTGCAGTGACCATTCATTTCTGACACGTAAAGTAGTACCCATTTTTGATGGGAATAAAATGCTCATCATCTCGGAAAAGACTCATGATTGTTACATCCATACTTAAATCAAGCATGTGTCCTCCCCTACTGTAAAGGCTGCTCCCAGCCTCCTGAGAACACATTACTTTGCAGCCATCAGGCAACCAAACCCTTTGATGCTAACCATGCTGCAAGCTCACTTCCCTTTGTTGTTCTGCTGCTTTCTTGGTTAGAGAAGCTGCACTCCCCGCTTCCTCCTTCCCTGTTGCAAAATGCTTATGTCCAGAGTGTTGTTTGTTAACGTGATATGCTCAACAATCCCAATGGCCAATCTTACAGCTGAAGCTGTACACAGGGAACCACCATGGAAAGCAGACAGCGTGTGCAATGAAGGACCAGAAACATCGGTTCCGCCCTCCAGATTAAATGGCTGTCCACACAAAGAAGCTGTCTGCACTGACAGTCACAACGAACAGCAGGCGTGTCCAGCGGAGAGTGCAGCCTCCTTCTACGGTGGGGTAGGTCCAGAGGAAAACAAAGTCCAACTTTTCCCTGCTGAAGTCACCCATCACAACATTTACTTCCTAGTCCTCACGTATCAGAGCACATGCTATTCTCCCTACACAAGCTCTGGGCAGCACTCAGATTTGCATACAAAATCCTTCTTAACCCAAAGGTTTAGGATGGTGGCAGAAGACATTTGGGGATATTTGCAACAGATTGGTCCCAAGGATGTACATATGATTTTTTTAAACCTTTATTTTGACTTTTTAATTTCATACTGACTTCAGAATTCTTTATTAAATTTTAACTAAGTTCTCACATTTTATTTTGAACCCTCAATAAACTCTTCTGAGGGTCCTGGACCAAGCGCTGTTTAGTTCAGAATCCTGAGCAACATACCTTTTCTCTTTTAGCCTAACTTTATTCTCCTAGAAAAAATGGGGTTAGGAAACTCTTGCATTCCTTTAGAAAGGGCAGCAAGTATTAATAGGCTATTAAGCATCAGTAATTAGTGTTCTTCTATGTTATTATGTTGATTAGTCAAACAGATTACTATTCCTAGGTGGACAGACTACTATTCCTAGGTAGCTGGTAAGTTGCAAGGGTATCTTTGGGCAAGACTCTGTTAACAAAATTAAGAGGACAGCTTTTTACTGGGAAAGGAATAATTAAGTATCCTAAAACCAATTAGTTAGATCTAGGATCTAGATCTAGGAGAAATGTGTCTCCTTGGCAGCTTCAGAAACAAAACTCAAATACTTTTAACAGTAAGATCTAGATTTATCGAAACTGAAATTAGTACATGGTAATTCCCTGGCTTGCATCACACAAAACTTGGACCAGATATCACAGTGGTCCCCTATGATAGAAAGATATAATTCTGAATGCATCTTTTCTCCTTATTTAGGTCTGGGGCAGGTCCAATGCTTTGCCTACAAGCAGCAGGTAAAATACTAAACTTGCATGGTTCCCTGCAGACATGGTTGTCACTGCCTTTTTCTGTCCAGCTGATCTGTTCAGAAAGTCAGGTCTGAGTCAGCTGGAGTTTGCAGTGTGGATAGGAGCCAGAAAAAAAAAGGGGGGGGGGGCAGGGGGCATGACTGTATGCACAGTCCAGTCCTAAGCAAAGGGACTCAGACTAGGAGAGGTTCACTACACTGATCCTGGCTGACCAGACAACAGCAACCCTGGGGATATCCTGGTCTTGGCCACCAGAACCTTTTCTACAGCAAAGGGTATTTTTGGTGGGGGAAATCCTACTCTAATGTCACTAGGAGCCATTTCAGTGCAAGGCAGGCACTGCCTCTGCAGGCTCTCCACAGGTGCTGCTCCCCAGAGCCGTATACAGGCTGGCTGGACTGCCCAGCTGTGCACCTTCCTGTGCCTGTCCTCCACTCATTACTGCATGGAACTCTCTCCCCTAGGACCTTATCCTCCGCTTGCTGTCCCATGGCAACCTTGTGCCATGCACATCTCATCAGAGCTGGCACATATGGTCACTAAGATAAATCCTGTGGTTGTACAATCTGAAAGAAATATCTGAGGACTTACTGTACTGGAATAAAAGGCAGATGAAAATATTCTGGAGCCACGGTTTGTTCTTCATGGTGGTTCTCACTGGATGTCCTGGGGAAGAAAAAAAAAACAAAACAAAACAACCACAAACAATACTCCCACAACCAATTTAGAACTCTGCTCAGACATTTACTTGATTAAGGTTGAGGTGGAATTAATCTTGCTTTCATTTAAACGTCTAAAAACAGAGTGCCTTATTAAGACAATTAACTTCAGCTCTCCTGTGTGTATCTTTCCCATGGGCTAAGGGGGGTATGACCAACAGCCTGCCAACTTGCCATAAACAAGGTCTGTGAAATCTTTGCTCTTTGCTAGCACATGCACAGAGAAAGCAGCAAAGTGACTGCAGCTCAGGCTGTCCAGGCAACAAGAAAGACTCTTGTGCTAATTGCTAACCCATTTTTTCTTCATTAGTATCTTGCAGCTAGGAATGGCTTGACACTAGAAGTGACATTGTGGCAGATTGAATACCTACACAGTGAATTGGCCAAATGGAGTCTGAATATCATTGTGGGTCTGTGTGAGGAAAGCTAGTGAGAACTCATTGATTTGGCCTACCTGTAGTTAAATAAGCATGAAATATCTAGTTAAGGGACTCCAGAAAAACAGACCAGAGAAAAAAAAGAAAAAAAAACCAGCCTCCCATGTAGCATATGAGAGAACAATGTACAGTGCTGACTGCAGGGAAAGGCTGCCCTGATGGTATAGTGAAGAGAACCTACAAGAAAGTCTTCAGAGAAGATGACAGCAGGATGTTTAAAACAGAGGAAATGGCATCACATACAACTGACTGTTCAACCCACAGCCCCTGCTCCAAGACAAAGCCCTCAAGTCATATAATGTATTTAAGGCTGTGTTTTCACAGCATTTAAATATTTATACAAACACATGGATGTGCACAGAAAGACTTAAAATATGCTCTCTGCAGAGTATTGGCTTTGATACCTGGTACAGACTTCAGCACTGTTTTCTCAAGCTATTCTTAAATGGGGCAAGACTTTGGAGAAGCAATGTGTATTATTTTGGCGACATAATTTCATTGAAAGCAAGTTGCAAGGATGCACAGACAACAGGAAGGGCCCATATGCCATGCCACATAGTCTGATCTACCCTTCTAATTTAAAAAACCATCAGCACTTGTCCTGTTGCAACAGACTCTGCTAAAAAGTCTGTCCTTATCTTTCTTACTGGCTCCCTTTAAATAATGAAAGGTTGCAGTAAGGTCTCCTCAAAGCCTGCTCTTCTCCAAGCTGAACAAGCCCAACTCTCTCAGCCTGTCATACATAGCAGAGGTGCTTCAGCCTTTGCAGCATTTCTGTGGCCTCTTCTGGACTCAATACAGCAGTTCCACATGCTTGTCACATTGGGGAGCCCAGACCTGAAGGCAGAACACCAGGCAGGGTCCCAAGAGAGCAGAGTAGAGGGGAAGAATCCCCTCCATCAGCTGCCCACACTACTGGGGAAGAACCCCAGGACACAGGAGTTTCTGGGCTACCAGCACATATGGCCTGCTTATGGACAGCTTTTATTCCACCACTGCCCCCAGGTCCTTGTCAGCAGAGCTGGTCTCAATCTGTTTGTCCCTCAGCCTGTATTCATATGGGGGGTTCAAGGTATTCAGGTCCTGGGGTGCCTATGCAGCATCCACCACAAGCAACAAATACCCAGGCAATCACTCAGCAGAGAGAAACCCATGAAGCCTTTAAGACTTGGGGAACATTTGTGGAGTTAAAAAATTTCCCAGGTTTACTCAAATAATGAAAGCAAAACAAATTTAGCAGCCACCAGAAAGCCCCTGCAGCCTCATGTGAGCTCACAGATGTGCTCTCAGGGTGTCAGTGCCCAGGTGAGACTAGCAAGACTCATTCTGGAGGTGCCTCAGACACAGGTGTCACACCCTGCTGTGGGAGCAATGATGCAGCTGCTGCCCCTTCTTTCCTGCCAAACAAACCCTGCCCATGAAGCACTGTTCCAGCTCGGCAAGGAGCCCCAGGCACCCTGCCATCCTCCCTCACCTGCTGCCAGTGGCAGGGCAGACTCTCCACCTTTGTACTCCAGCCCTTCTCTCTGCATCACACATTGCCTTGAGTAAACACCTTTTCTTGAGCCCTCTGGTCCAAGCTCTCCAGGTTTTCTCTGTATAATAACTCTCATCATTACCACTACTTTTGGTAGTGCGGTCCCTAGGCACTGAGATACAGTCCACTGTCTAACTCCATCTTGTGATCTCACCCATCTTCCATAGCTCTTCTCCAAATCCTCATTCCTTTGAGGAGGCTTGCTGTTATCCTGCTATCTGAAACCTGCTCATTTGACTTCATGCTGAGACTGGCTGCACCACAAGCCCATCTCAGTATCACTTATTGTGATACTGAGTATCACAGTATTGTGACTGTCATGCTCCACACTCTTGGCCATCATAGAAAACAAAGAACGGCAACTTGTGAAAGAAAAAGAAAAGAGAAAGGAAAAGGAAAGGGAAAGGCTGGGCCCTCAGAGAGGTCTGCAGACCCACCACTTATTTCAGAATCCAACTGGCAGGGCCTCTCATGCTTGGTATTCACGATATTGCAGTAGCTCCCTATTTTTATGCTTATTCCTGCCTAAAGGAACAGACCAATGCAAGGAAAGTCTTTGCTGCTTTTACCTATTGGACTGTGGTTTCTTTCAAGGACCTCCCCTACTTTTCTTTCTCCGCTCAGAGAATGGTACCATTGATCTGAAGGGACAGGCAGGACTCAACTGGAAAAAGTCAAAGCAAGGAGCCCAAGTAGCTCATTGGGTAGATGTCTAACAGAGTTACCAGAGACTGCCATTACACAATGGGGAGAGGTTAGCATACAGCCTTGTATTCTAGAAGGAAGATTCATGAAGATGAGCACAGTAGCAAAAATAAGAAAACCAGTAGGATCTGCTAAAATAGCTGAAACAAAGAGACAATACTTCCTCAGTTGGGATGCCAATGTCCCATCTCTTACCCTTGCCAATGCCCACAGATTAGTCCAACATTTATCTTCTATTTCACTACCTCAGTGTGGTAGGAAAGGACTCTGACCTCTAAGAGCACCACAGACAGTTTCAGTACTGCTAAAACTGTCTGACCTCCTCGCTGTGCTCCAGATTGTTATGACATGACATGGACAGACAAGACATGTGCAGAAGAGCTGGGAAAGCTGCAGCTCTGCAGCAGCATCTTTGTGGTGTTTGATGACAAAGACCTCATGACTTGAATGGAGATATATAGCAGCCCTAATTCTAAAGCATGCTCCAGTGTCAGGCCCCCTGCAAGCTTCAATCCCAGTCTATTATTGGGACCCCCACCTTTCCTACATCTCTCCATTTGTTACACCCTTCCCATTTGCTTTTATCTGTCAGCATGTGATTGTAAACCTGGAGGAAAGAAGGGCAGTGGGCAACGAGCAAAGGCAGAAACTTATTCCCAGTCTGGCATTAGAAAAGTCCTTTCTACCGCCTCGTTTCATTTTCTCAGTCTGTGAAATGGGGACTCAGAATCAGCTTCATGCATCCTTGCAACACAGACACTTGTTATAAAATGTTGAACATTTTACAGCTGCCAAGTACCACATCTGCAAACTCTGTAATATCCTTATGAGATCACAGCAATAAAGCTGAGTAGCCATTCATAATATACACATGTAAATGATGCTACAAATTTATAATATACCAGAGAACAGGAAATAGGACCAATACAGACAGACATTTATGAAGATTATTTTTGTTAAGAATCTGGAAATATGATGCTATAAGCTGCCAAACATTGATGCAGTCTAAGCTGACAGTTTGAACTGTTTCCAGGAAACGTATGTACTTAAAAAACAAAACAAAAAAACCCCCAAAACAACAACAAAACGCACATAAAAAAAAAAGGGAAAAAACCCCAAGCAAACAAAAAAAAAGACACACTAGAAAAAAAATCCCCAAAAAACAAACAAAAAAACCCCAAACCACCAAACCCCAAATCAAAACTAATTAAGAACTCAGTTTAAGTAAAAAAAAAAGGAAAAAAATATTTCCAAACATGAGAAAATTAATTTTTTGCACCCAAGCAAAAAAAGAGTGGAAGACACAGTCCACCAGTTATATGCCCAAATAAGCTTTCTTCTTGAAAAAAAAAAATCATTATCAATGCACACTGCCATCTAATCAGAAAGCTGAAGCAACAGGGAGACAAAGAGGTGCTCTGACTGTCCAGAGGCTAAGAGCAATGACGCTGGGCCACAAGGGCCACATCAGCTATAAGAAAGATTTACAGTGAAGTTGAACATCAAGCAGGAACAAACTAGCAGCAGGGAGAGTTGGTGGAAACATGGATATTACCTGCCCTGTTCTGTGCATTTCAGCCCTCCAACACTTCCATGACCAGCCTGGTTAAATCATCACTGCAATTGCAGACCCCACCTGGGGAGCTGAGGAGCAGGTGGGGCTCCTTAGCACTGAGTAAGAGCAAAGCCGACTTGTGCACAACCAAGGGCCGTGGTGTATTGGAATGCACAGTGATAAGTGGAGATTGACGTCACCACTGTATCAGTATTACTGTGCCAACAGAAGGATGTGGTGAGAGGAGGTGATGAATTCAGGTCCAAACACCCACACAACATTTATTACTGTACTGTTCTGCTTTCTTACATGAGAAAAGGGTGGGAGAACTGATAAAAACTCACAAGCCTCATATCTAAAAGGTCATAGTGGGGCTTAGATTTGTGCAGTGAGGAGGCATCAGTGTCAAGGTATTAAAGGGCTAAGCCAAACTGCATAGTACAGCATGTGCCACATTGGAGACAGTCAAACACCACTGCATTCAGCTTCCATCCTTTCCCAAAATGGCCCAGGATCAGGGCAACAGCACCAGTCCTTAGACCACAGGCAGGGAGGTCATCTGGCTCCTACACAGGTGAGGGGCTCACCCCTGTTGTATCTCATGCCTATGACTTGTGTCTGGGCCAGGTCTCTTTAGATCGCAAGGTTGACCCTGAGGGAGGATCCATCAACTCACCTAATCATACCTTTAGAGGGGCTTCAAGGAACACCTGTACAGTAACTGTATCCTTGGACAAGAGGGAAATGAGCAGCACTATGGAGGGATTTGGCACACACAACACAGTGTGGAGGTAGGGGGAGCTAGGAGCAAGAACCCAAGAAGACTGCAGCAGTGAAGTTGGCACAAAGCAGCAGGGTGCAGGGTGAGGGAGCTCCATGTTAAGCCCTCCATACCTCTGACTCACCCTTTGAAAAACGGATGTTTTGGAATGTTCGGGCCAGGGTAGGCAGCTCTTGACCATGCCTGCCAGGGAGCTGCTGGTAACTGAGCTGGTTGTACACTGTTAGGGCATGCATGGAGAAGGTCACATGATTTAATCCAGAAGTTATTCCTCATTGTGTTTGGAGCAGCCTCTGTGAAAGACCAGCTCTCCCTTCTGCATGCTTTGTGGATCACTTACAGGCACAATGTCAGGCCCAAGCTTCTAGAAAAGACTTGTCTCAGCTGATGGTGCTTGTGGGCTGTGGAGATTGCCACCTCTCTTGGGTGCAGTGTGGGACAGTACAGGGTTAATGAGGCTGAGTGGCTAAGTCAGAAATTTCCCAGAAGTAATATCTTTCTGTTGTGAGGATAGCACACCAGGACAGTGGTGTAGCTTTTGCCCCCTGATTACACAGGACTCTCCAAGGTGTGCCAATATTGTTATTTGTGCAGAGGAGGGAGGGAAAGAGCAGCATGTCTGATCAGTCCAAAGAGTGATAGTCTGGCAGACCCAAGCCATACTACTTTTAAACCACGCAATAATATGTATTTGATATTACAGAGCTAACTTTAAAAACAGGAACACTAGTAGCACTCTAAGACTAATGGCTTTATAAATTTAAACACACTGCATCAAAAGGACTGTTTTTCTCAAATTTAACTCATAAAAAGTGTAATTTCAGCCTAGCCTGCAGCAGTAATATTCACCAAGAAGCAAGCGTGAAGTGCACACAAGGGAAAGCTTGGTAGATTCTGTTATTCATGACCCAAAACCATTTTGCCATCACTGGAAGAAGGGCAACATCATTATGTATTTATCAGCAAGATAAATAATCGAAAAAACAACATTCAGAGCTGACAATTCTTTCTCTAGGATATAAAACCAGTCATGCTTGGAGTTATCAGGTTCATGATTTGACGAAAAAGAGAAAAAACTCCACAGAAACAGTACTACCTCTGTACTTTCTTCCTGTAATAACAGAATTAAACCAATATCCCCAGCAGCATCAAAGATACAGACCTGGCATAACTTTAGAGTCAAAGGCACCATTACTGGCTGGTGACATTTAGGAGGAAGATAATCATACATTGCAATAAGTGAAAAATGGCAGAAGAACAGCTGAGACATGAGTAACAGTGTTCTACTGGAAGGGAAAGCAATAGAAGAAACCACCTCAAAGCTCAGGAAACAAGCTAAAATATGAATGAGCCAGGCAGAAAAGCGGAGGTGTTAGTCAGCAAAGGAGCAGGTTGAAAAACACCGAAGCTCTACAGGTGGTGGCTGTGAGCTGACACAGGATGCTGCAGGGGAGGGAGGAGTGCATTGCTTTCAGTCTGGGGAATACTGAATGTCACCTGCAGAGACCCCAGCATCCTGCCCTCCTTCCTCCCTTCTGCCTTTGCTAGTTATCTGTAGCCATCAACACTGGGGTCAGCCTCTTGTTTTCCCCAATATCCATTGAGTCTGAACCCATACTCCATGAATGCTGTTGTAAAAGGACATCACTTTGGCTCTAGCCAGAGGAAAAGAGCTTACCTTCACAGAGCTGTGGCCATGTACGTCTTGCTCACATGGAGGAGATTGTACAGAGGCTTGTATCTTCTCTTAGGAAATCACCCAACACATGCTGGTAAAGAGAAACAGGAATGACTGTGCTTGTGAACTCACCCTGACCATCTGGAACAGAAACCTACAGCTCTGCTCAGGCTCGAACCCAACATCCGCAGCTGCACCATGCAAAGCATGCCCAGAGCATCTCTGCACAAGGTCAGCAAGACTCACGCATTCCCACAGTGCTCACCTGAGCTGGCAGTGCTGGCAGAACTCCCTGCTCCTTCCATGCAGGTTGGCAGAAACTGACCCTCTTAAGGCAATATTGATCAGCTTGTCCCCAGATCTCTGCAATTGGGGATGCACCAAGACCAGAACTCTACTCCTGGCACACAGCTGTTTATGGCAAGAGCCTCATCTGCATCACATGGAGCTCTGTTTTACCACAGTTGTCAAAAATCAGCATGTCCCACCTGTCCTGCCTGGCTGCAGCTCTTCCACACTTGGGGCTGGTGCAGCAATGGAGTGTGCCTTAGGCAGTTTCCGGCATCTGTCACAGGGTGAAAAACACACCAGCTGTCTTCAACCTCGGCTGTGGCAGCATGTGCAAAGCAAAGGCCTGACACAGCAAGCTGCAGGGGGGTGGCCAGCTGCATCTGTAAACCACAGAACATGCAGTCCTAACACACTTGGTGACTTCTCATGTCACTGGCAGCAAGTGACGTGCCTTTAGGAGAAAAGGCAGGAAGGGAGTGGCTTCTCAGAAAAGCCACCCTTGTAGCCCCCTTTCCACTATAAAATCTTGCTACACAAACCTAATTCAGGAGCAGAGCCAGAGGTTTTTAAGTTGTAAGAACAGCAAAGGCAGCTTGACCAGAAGTGGGAAGAATTCCTGATACTTCTGAACAAGTGTCTGTTGCAGGGGCCCGGCCTAGCTCAGAATGAGGCCATGAAATAGTCAGCACAGGCCAAATTGTGTATCCTAATTCTTGCTATAGTAGAGGAAACAAGGCATTTCATGGCTTCATTGCCCTCGGTCATGTTGTGGAGGAGCACGCTATGTGTTTCTGAAGCACCTCAGCCAGGCAGTGGAGGGGGAAGACCAGGCAGCAGTGAACTGCCCTGCACAACCTTCAAGCCCAGGGCCTGCCAGACACGTGCACTGGTCAGCACTTGCAGCACAGTACAAGCCACCTTCTCCAGACCTCAGCTGGCTGTTTACCACAGGCACTGGCTCCACGGCAGCCACGGCCAACGCACATCTGGTTCTCACAGAAACTCCCTAGGGTGTCAAAACAAGAACTGGGGACTGGTTATAAGGCTGACCCAGGCATGGAAATTCTACCCCCAGAATGCCGTCCAGTGCTTTCTCACCTCATTATAATTCTTGCTGCTGTGTGGGTGGCTCATTGCAAGTGAAACCAGCAGAAGCTGAGCTGGGGAGAAGCAGTCAACCTCAAACCCTTCAGCTTATAGTGAATTTCCCCATTTCTAAGAGCTGGGGAAACAGCACCAAGTAGGAAAATCCCAGTGCTACGTATTAGTCAACAACTTGGTAGCCTTCAATCAGAGGACAAATACCACACTGTTATGAATGCCCTGCTCTTTACGATTGGGTAGAGACAGGATGAAGGAAGTGGCTGATCCATCACTAAACTGGACAGGAGCTCCTTAGGATGCCTGCCATGCTCCTTGGACTGGGGCAGGTCTAGCACAGAAATCCCTCTACCAAAGACAGACTGTGGCTCACAGGCTGTACTGTAACAGCTCTTGCCACGACAATTGCCTCTCTGCATTCAGAATACAGAATCTTAGGCCTCATGCAAAGATGATCAGTTTTATAGACAGCATTCTGACTAAGAGCAAAAAAGACCTAAACAGCTGTTCCTCCCCTCATGCAGCTAAACATGCCACAGCAGCCAGTTCCCCATTCTGTTCAACTAGGGCTGTTGCCAGTTTTTCTTCTCTTTCATCTTGCAGTCTTACTGAAGGGACAGTATGGACATTTCAATATTATAGAAAACTACAGGATGGGCAGATTGGAAGCAGGACAGCAAAAAAAAAAAACAAATAGAGCAAAGCACCTTTGGCCAGAGTTCTGCAGAGATGTAAAGTTCCTCTCAACAAGCTTGTCACAAGGAATGAAAACACTCAGGATTTAGCAATCCAGCTGTGCTGCTGATAGCTGTTAGGCACTCTGGGAAAACAGGCCAATGTATGGCAATTCATTAGGCTTTGGTTGTGTCAGTGAAGTAACTGGAAAATGCTCGCTTCCTCACTTGACTGTGTTTTTCCTTTGCTTTGGAGCAATCTGCTTAGAAAGACAACAGTCCTGCAGTTGAAAACCAACCAGTTCACTGGTCTCCTTGCTTTTTTTACCAGAAAGTTCCTTCTGACCTTGTGACTTTGGTGCAGTAGGAGAGGCCTTGAGGGCTGTTGCCGTGACTGCAAGGTCTCAGTCACAGAAGCATGCTGAAAGCAATGAAAATTCCGGGTAATGTGAGATCAAGATACATCATCATGTGGGAGCCTGGGGCAGACCTTGAATTCAGCAATCTGCAGAGGTGAGAAATGATCTTGTGTGCATGCATGGGCAACAATTAATAAAAATTACCTATTACCTATTTTTTGTAAAAAATAGGCAGCAATGTGACGTGCCTTTAGGAGAAAAGGCAGGAAGGGAGTGGCTTCTCAGAAAAGCCACCCTTGTAGCCCCCCTCCACTATAAAATCTTGCTACACAAACCCAATATAGGAGCAGAGCCAGAGTCGTATGAACAGCAGTTCTTACAAGTTGTTTAAGTTTTTAAGTTGCAAGAACAGCAAAGGCAGCTTGACCAGAAGCGGGAAGAATTTCTAATACTTCTGAACAAGAGTGTCTGTTGCAGGGAGAGGGTGAGCCAGACAGCTGCCCCCTCAACCCCACTGTCTGTCTCCAGTTCTGGGTTATACAAAGACATAGGAACAGGATCCCCCTTCTCTGAGAGTTAGGTTCCATTTCACCAAAGAAAGACTGAAGGGAGAGAAAGGAAGAATAACCCCACACAGAAAACCATCATATGGAAATGTGCAGACTGGAAGGCATAGCTATGAAGAACAAAAAAGCCAGGGAAAGGCAAAATGGAGCTGAGGCTCAGCAGAGAAGTAAGTGCTGCAGCAAAGTTGGCCTGAGCAGACCTCTCCAGCCAGGCACAAGCCTTCAACGATGCAAAATCTTTCTTCTCACAAAGAATGCAAGAGCGAGCACAGGTGTAGAAGGGAAAGAAAGCACCACTGGTGTCCCTACATAGACTCCTCGACTTTTTTACCATCTTGGAAGAGAGATTTGCAGTACCAGTTGCTGTGCTTAGCATTATGGTTTCCTTCCTTATGAATAGCAATACAAGCAGAGTTTTCTAAATGAGAATAAATGTATATATTTCAATTGAAATAACAAGCAACAATTCAACTTGCCATACAGTTTATTTCCAAAGACTAGTTCAGTCTTGGCAAATGTGGCTAGGCTACCTCCATATAGCAGTTGTTCTCTTGGGCAAGGGTTCGCACAAAAGTTTCATTTTTTTCTCATTTTTCCTGCTGTTTTCCACTAATAGTTCTATTGGTCTTTTTTTTTAACTGCAAGTGCCAGTCTGGAGTCCTCACTGTGAATGGTGTGAGAGACAGAAGGATAGGAGTTACTCACAAAATGATTGTCTGAGCCATGGAGCTCCAGGGTCTCTACAGTTTTTCTTTCTAAGCTTAGCCCAATACTGTCCGGTGATGCTGGTAAGCTGACTCCTGAGCCACACCCCCCGCCCCATCTGCATGCTTCAGCACCTCTTCACTTCCCCCTGCATCTCCAAGTTCCCTCAAGTGGTTGTGTGAGTGGCAGTGGAAGTTAGTCATTTAGTCTGTTATCACCACTCTCTTGCATTACTTTCCCAGTAGGGTTAAAGCTTCTCCATTTTGTTGCCTTTGTAGCTTTCTCTGCTGTTTAAATCTTGACACTTCATCTCTAACAAATGCAACAGCTGTTCATCTCTGCTGGTATTTTCATCATTGCTATCACCATACAGCTCATTAGTGCTGTTGATCCAAGGGCTACCATCACTAATCTGCGTGTCATTCTCACTAGATGCTAAACCCGGGGCAGTGGTGTAGTCAGAACCCTGAACAGTCAAACACACACCATCCTTTATCCTTGGGTCAGATTCATAGACTGCAGTATCTGGTGGTGCTTCATTCAGGTTGTTGCACTGATTAATGAAGGATTCATAAAGTGATGTAGACATAACCTCATTGTCACTGTCCCAGTATAGACCATTACATTTACCTACACTACCAAAAGGCTGATAGCCAGATGGCTGAGGTGCAATGGGGCAAGAAATTATATCAGCTTTCCTTCGAACATTTTGATATATTACTTGCTTATGCATTTCTTCCTCTGAAAGAAAAGCTGAAGCACCTTCCTTTACATGTGTGGAGAAAGATGGAAAATCAGTATGTTCTGAACAGGTGTTTGGAAAATCAAGCTCAGTGCTGGGAGATCTGTAGTTGTTGTAACACATCTGATTGCTAGCAGGCTGAGCCCTTTGGTCTCTGCAGCTGCATTTGGCCATCTCTGACAACTGTCTCAAAGGTGGTAAGGAAGGCACACTTTCAAAGCCCAGAGTCAGGCTACTGTTAGCCATTGACTGAGACATGAGGGCACTGAAGCTCTTGTATGCAGAGCTGCTTGGTTCCTTGCATGCAGACACAAGCATATTAAAGCTCCTGTAGGCAGAGCCACAGGGTTCCAGGGATGGAGACAAAAGGGTGTCACAGCTCTTGTAGGCAGAACCACACAACCCCATGGATGCAGACACAAGGGTATCAAAAGTCTTGTCTGCAGGGCTGTTTTTTCTGTCTGTTTCAGTTCCAAACAATGATTTATTTGTAGACTCCTGGGTCAGGACACAAGAGCCAAGCTCACTTTCAGAATGACATAGAAAACAGCTTTGATGAACCATTTGTTGAAGATCTCTTGCATCCAGAGAAGCAGAATTTATGCTGGAGCTCCGATATCCAGATTCAAAGGATTCTTCTGATAGTTCTGACTCTTTGCTGGCTGTACTACAATTGTAGTCATCTTGAGAGGCTTTGATGAAAAGAGGAGCTGTATGAGAAATGTCACACCGTTGCGGACTCTGGGCTACACTTTCTTTTGGATTTTGCTGTGATGGATTTTCAGACCCAATGTTCTCTAAGGTTTTCCTCTCAGCTGTGAGGATGTCTGGGCCTTTATTGTCTTCCATGTTATTTTCATCTGCCAGGAGTGCATCAAACATGTTAGCTAGTAACTCATTGTGTTCAGGGTGCTCTCTGAAAGCACCAATGCTGCTCTCACAAGGCTCAAACATGGTGATCTGGTTGCCAGTTTCTTCTTGGCTCTCAGTTTCACTGTCTGTTAAACATACACAGATTTCTATACACTCTTCAACTGGTATTGTATCAGGGGTTAAAACTGCACTGCTGCCTTTTGGCAACCACTCTTCAGACTTGCTGTGGCAACTGCAAGATTTCTCAACATTTCTGATGTTATCTTTTCCCTTGAAGTTTTGGCTTGACAAACTGTGAGCCAGACAGCTCTTGCAACTTCTGCTTTTGGAAGTCAAAAGGAAAGGACGGTTAATGTTTATAGTACAGGAAACAATTTTATGCTGTAAAGCAGAGGATTTTTTTTTAATCTTACTTACATTTGTTGTTCCATGTGACTCTGCTTTAAGTCCTGGAACGGGAACTTAATTTCATCAAAGTAGCACAAAACTGAAAACTAATAAAGATACAAATGGGATTTAGGACACATATGAACTGTATTTAGTATCCCTTACACTAGACAGACAATAGAATTTACTACGTATTCTACTTCTGATGATCAGGAAAAGGTATTTTTTGCAAAGCTTTTAAATTACCTTGACATTTTTTACAACCGATTGGCTCTTTGCTGGATTTGGGATTTGATCCCACCATTCTTTCTTCACTCTGCAAGGAAAGAATGAAAATAACTTATTTTGACTGTACTTGGGCTTAACCAGTGTACATTTCTCTCTTCTGCTCTCCTTTCCCTCTTAGGCATCTGCACTGCAGCAACAGAAAGTATTTGTTTTGAGCATCTCCTAATTTTCATTAAACCAGTACAAAGATGTTTGTATGTTTGGTATGTGACTGCTCTGCACAGCAACAGTCACCTGTTCTTCTAATCATGTTTAAAAGGATGTGTGAAATAGACAAGATCTCATTACCATTTAAAAATTTCATATTACCATTTAAAAGTTTTTGAAAGAAATAAATGTATTAACCATCCTTACTTGAACTCCAGCAAAGACCAAGGATCAGAACTGACAACCCCTACTATAATAAACCTATTCTAGTAAGTTAATAAGACTATTCAGAAAATGACAGAGTTTATAAAACTGACTTGTGTTTATAAAACCTCTGCTCACAGACAGCTAGATAAAGGTGCCGAGAAAACCCAAAACATTAGATTTCTGTGCTACCAGACATTTGTCTAACCAATAGCAATACTGATATCTGTATAAACTATTACTCTATAAACTCTGTGAAAAGCAGGATACTTACTTGGCGAAACAGAAGTAACAAATTATGGATCCTGCCATGACCAGTATGCAGGATGTGGGCACAGCCATCTGCAGAATGTCTTCAGCCTCCACCTGGTAATCTGTTAAACAAGCAAATGTCCACATGTGAATGTGCATCTAAATGCAAGCACTGACAATACCAAATTATTTGCTGCTCTTCTGCAACTCAAAAAAATGCTCTTTTAGAGGATGTAAAATTAAGCTTCCACCACGTTAACAATAGACCCCCACAGCTGCCAGCAGCCACGGTGTGTGGTGCGTCAGAGACCTGGCTCAGGTACTGTGCTCAGCTACAGGGTGTGGCAGGAGCTGGGAGAGCCAGTGTGCACTGCGGGGCCACTGTCAGCCCTCAGGTACAAGGCACTATCACACAGCACCTAAAAGGGCTTTATCATGCATTACCATTGTCACTGTAGTGCAGCTATGTTTCTTGTTCTCTCTGTTGCTCTTCAGGAGCTTTTATAAACCCTCCTACCTCTATTAAAATACTGCTGTATTCGCAGCATATATATATATATATATATATATATATATATATATACACACACACACACACATAATTTATACTCGCTCTCACATCAGTGCTGCTGTTTAGTTCAAATACCTCTTCTACTTCCCTGTTGTCTACTTCATGAAATATTTATAGAGAATAAATAGATTCCTTTCAGCCTGTTTTTCACAAGGCTAAGCAATCCAACCTCCCCTGGTCTTCTCTTCCTTAGTTTCCCAAGGAGTTGCCTATCTATGTTTAGTGTCTTTGGAAGCCTTTACAGATGTATTCACATTACATTCAAAATTATGAAGATGGTGAGTCCATAACTCTCCTCCAAGAGAGCAGCAGAGTATGTAAGACTGTATACCATCCTTTTACCAAGCTGTTATTTCTGACGCTATTACCATTGCGAAATTCAACTTCTTCACTCCATTCACTCCAGTAGGCTGGGTAGTCCACATAGTTACACCTGAGACTTGCGACATAATCATAGCCTCTCTTCAAGGAGCTTGCAGTAATCTCAAAACTTTTTGCCTGGTAGTTAATTGCTTTTACAGAAACCTGAAAAGAAAGTGAGAAAGTTGACTTGGATTTCTTTATAGGGTGAAGGGTTAGTGACTGCAACTACATATCAGTAGTGTTATGTGTTTCAGCGACCATTCACAAATGAACAAATGAATGACTTGTGTATGATACTGCCATTGGCAGTTCATGTCATTGGCAGGTGGAATTTATTACCTGCCACCATGCATGTTTTTCTGTGACCAGAAGCAGCCCAGCCCAGAAATGCTGAATTATTCAGAACTTACCTGCCCCACAGAGCCATTAACCTCCAGCTTCCTGATGTCTAAGGAGCAAATGAAGTTCAGGGAATAGAAGCATTGTATTTTCAATCTCTGCCCTGTCTACTGCAAGCAGCAGACCATTTTGGGGTGGCAGTCACAAGAGTTTCAGTTCTCTGACACCCAGCTGAACCATCTTGGGGGCAAAGTGAACTGTGGCAAGTGTGTAATCAGAATCACTGTGCTCTGGCTGGCCCTTACATTATTATTAATGAAGTGACTTTCTAGAGGACTTTTTAAACCTTTAAGCCCTGGAGATAGAAAATGAAGAGACTGAGTGTCTCTTACCTCTGTCGGGTGCTGCTTCCTCCAGTATTTCACTTCATAGATGACTGGCTGTCCAGAGAGAAAGGATGGGTGGGAGTAGCTCTCCTCCCAACTCAGATTGAAATTACCATTTTCAGCTTTCTCAATGGTAAGATTTTTGGGGGCTCTCGGCTTAACTGTATGGTAAAAAATACAGAACAGGGTAATGGGAGAGCACTGATAGAGAGAAGCAGAGAGAGAAGCATTCACCAGAGACCAGAATATCATTGCAGTCAATGCATTTAGCCCTTTTCACTATGGCGTACCACAAGAATAGAGAGGCTGAACCTGAGCAACTTGATGGTATTCATTAAGCACTGATTCCTCAAGCTGGCCGAACCAATTGCAAGCACGGCCTTTTGGTGCACTGGATGCAGCTTTCAGCCTGGAGAAACAGGAACAGCCTGTGCCCTGACAGGAGCAGCTATGAGGCCGGGTGGGCACAGAGCTCCAGCATCACAGCCAAGCTGTCCTGGCTCCCTGTCTCTTGAAAATCAATGTGGAGTTCTGCTTATTTGGCAGATAAGCAGCAGCATCAATCAAGTATTCTGAAGAGAACCAGCTCCTTGGCCTGCCTAAAGTATGAAAATGGTTTCTCTGAGTGTAAGGTGACAGGCGTTACCAACCAGCACACTGTTCTGACCAAACTGGGGGGTCCAGGCGGAGACATGAACTCTGTCCTGTTTAGGAGCAGTCTCTAACTTTTTTATCACTGACTGTTAAAATCCAACAGGGATTGCTGTAAAAAATCTCCTGCTCATTTGGCATGATTCAACTAGCATGAAAAATCAGAGTATGACAGAGATAGGAATAGGAAGAATTTCAGCAGGGATAACCTAGCTTATTTCCAGAAACTGAAAGTAGCATGATTCCTCTTCCTCTTGTAAACCACAAGTAAAAGGCACTAAAGATAATCTTAGTCCCCAAACTCCTTTTGGCTCGCAGCTGAGAGGGTGCAGATAGAGGAACAATCACTCTCTGCCTTCCCCATTACTTACATTAATTCCTTAAGAATCTAATCCAGAATCAGGTTTCTAAAACAAATGGATTTTGCATTTAAGCTACCATGACATTTTGCACCTCTGACAAGCAAAAACTGTTCTGGGGACATGAATGAGAAATTAGCTAGGATTGCAAAGCCTTGAACCAGATGCACCAGTGACAAAGTAAACAAGATCTTACCAACAAAGGCTGGTGTAACATTGTAATTCCACGAATCAGTGCCATTGAATTGTAGGGCTAGAATATATGTGAGGCTAAATACAAAATATTCCGGATATATTGTACAAGTGCACCTTAAACGGTCTTTTTCATTCTCAGGAACACATTTATTTCTGAAAAACAGGCACAAAATTATGTGATGTTTAAGAGAATGTTACACACTATTCCTTGAAAAGGTGAAATCAAGTCTCCCAACATGTATAACCAATCAGAACTGAGACAAGTCAGTTCTCAGAAATGTTTCCAAAACAAAACTGAGATCCTCAAACAACCCACCCTCCCTAGCCACCTACTGGATATCTGTATCACACAAATTAAAAACTTGACAGAAAGGCCAAGTATTGATCCCTTATACAACCCTTTGTCACACTTCAGTTTCTAAAGGAAGATACTAACGGCTTGTTAGTATAGGAACAGGTTTATTGCAGTGTATCAGCAATGTTATTTGAATGTTGGTGTGGTGAAATCATGCAGCAAGGGAAAGGAGAACCCAGATGCATCTTCTTGTGTAAGAGATGACGACTGGCCCTGCTCAGAACAGGGACAACAGTCTGTGCCTGAACAAGGAGCTACACTGTATGCAGAGACAATCACCTGGCCTTCAGTGGAAAGTATCTTTCACACAGAATCAAGTCTTTCTTGATTCACAGACCAGTGAATCAAGAAAGACTTCTCATGAAGAAGGTAAAATTTTACATGAAGTTAAAAGTTCTGTAAACTTCTAAGAGCCCTACCACTCCCACCAGTAGGACTTGATCCATCCTCTGTCCTAAGAAAGCAGAAAGTTCTACAGAAGAGTAGACCGCTGAACTGAGGGTGCTGTTAATTGCAGAAACCCATTTTACTTAAAAGGAAAGAATCCATTTTCCTTTAAGAGCAATAATCTGAAGTACATTTTGCCCCACACACCCACAGTAGAGGGAGGAAATTAAAGCCAGTAGTGGCTATAGGATATATAAAACTTAACAATGGCAGTGTAATATCTTAAACACTTACGACACAGAAGAAGTTTCATTGCTGTAGTAGAGCACGAATTCTTTGGAGCAATTGGTTTGTGCAGGCACCTTCCAGTGACAAACCAGCTCTTTGTCATAGTCAGTGAAGCATGCAAATTCCTGTATGTGTCCTGCAGTCAAAACTAGGGGAAAGCAGCATACAATGAGAAGCAAGAGAATCAGAAGACTATATTGGACTAAGCAGAAATACTAACTTTTCCATCTAAACAGAGCTGCCACACCTCTACAAATTAAGTGAAAACATTGCTATTTTTTGTGTCTGGGTAAATGGAAAGAGAAACAGACACTCAGACCGTCTCCACCTTTCTGGAGACAATGTCTATGGTCTTGGACAGGAGAAGTCTGCAGTAGTAATACTGACATAGAAAGGCACATTTCAGCCAACACAGACTTCCAAGAACAGAAAATCTGATTGCAATAGCTCTATTTAAAACACATCAGCATTAAATGACACTACATTAAAACAGCATTAAATACAAAAGCCAAAATGCAGGTAATTAACAGAGTCAGACCAGGATCACTGCTTAGAGTCATGACTCCTGTTTTACCTACAACTAAGGTAAAAGGTTCTAAGCTTCCCATACTTCATTTCACTCAGAACTTCCTGCTCTGTCTTCTACTCATCATTGTTATGAGAGCATTCAAGACTGAGGAGTGATGAAGTCACACTGAGCCAGGCACTGAGGAGGTATACAAAAGCCCAGAGTCTCTGCATTCCAGTGTTCAAGTTTATAACTATTTTCACTGGCAGTATTTAACCAAAAAATAGAATATAGTGGTCAAAATATCTTTGTTAGAACTGGAAGTGCAAAGTGAATCCACAATCCTCATTATCCCTTCCAGCTTCACTTTCCTTTATTTCAATGTGCTCCACAAGAGTGATACACAGAACAGAAGAGAAGCTTGGTGACAGTAATGCCACGTTGTTATTTGGACTAACAGTGTGCCAACCTGATACTGGACCCTGGAACGTGATTATAAGAAAATAGCTAGAAATAGCTAATACTTTTATCATCTAAGACAATTATTTGCCTTTTCTGATGTTTGACTTCTCTTTCACAGGTAAATAAAAACAGTATCTCACTTTTCTTGCACAACCTGTACAAATATAAATCTTTTTCTGCTTTACATGTCAATCTCCTGTAAAAAAATTAAAATACCTGTTTTTTTGAATCCTATTAATTAAGATTATCTGAGAATTTCCAAAGGGATTCTGCTAGAAGGTTTTCGTGGCAATTATACAAGACCAAATTTTGTGTACATAGCCCAGTACATTACCAACTCTGCATGCTGGTCATTTACATTGCAAATTCAAGACACATTTGCCAACTATTCACATCCTGCAAGGTTTTTGTCCTTCAGCCATGTCTGCTTCACAGGCTTATTCCTTCCAACAGGTACCTAAATTTCAATAATTCATCCCATGCCGTTTTTGCTGAAAGTACCAAATTTCATTTTATCTTCCCTAGATTTCTACTTTTCTGTAGTCCACTTGTGTTATTTACTATGATCCAACTTCTGCATACTCTAATACAGTACAGGATCTGCAAATGTAAAATGTGATGGTCAGATACCTTTTAGTGGATATGATACATAGCACAATGGGATCTATAAAATTTGGATTCTAAGTTGTCTGGTATATTGACTGCTTATAAACCTAGAACTTACTGTGATTCATGGTTTCAGTAGTGTTCAAATCCTTAGAAAATATTTTGGTTTAGTTACTAAGGCTAAATATTTATCCTGTAGATAAGAACTATTGCTTTTATGTCCTTTCTGGATGACAGTACCACGTTAGGTTTCCTTTTTTTTTCTGCATGGTATCCAATTCTTTAACACTCATCAAAAAAGCAGCAAGTCAAACTCCTGCAACACTTCAACAGTCATACTGCTTTTTATTTTACAATAATCATTACTCTGTTGATGTTGTTTATATTTGGTTGCCATTTGTAATTTTATTGCTAGTTTCCTTTTCTCACTTTAAAATGTACTTTTAACATAAGTACTATCAAGTTAAGGCCCTTAAAGATGAATGACATTATTTTTCAATCTGTTAATCATCTTGCACTTTCAAGAATAGTTCAATTAAATTAAGCTCTTCCTGCTGTGTTAAGCTATGATGACTAACAGTTTTACTTTATCTTGCCATTCAGTGCTGTCATGTCTTTTCAGAACTCTAAATTATATTCTCAGCTCTTTTCCTCTCACCTTCTCACTTTTTCATGTCTGGTATACCATTTTTTTTTCAAAAAGCTCAGATATTTGAGAATTTCCTTTTGAAACCATATACAGTACAGGGTTTGTTTTAACTTTGCATCGTTAAAAGAGGGAACTTAAATACTGAATTTCTTTTTTGATCCTCAAAGAGTACACAATGCTGAAGAAACTTAAAACGCATAGTTAACTAGGCAAACAAACCCAAACAAAACACAATAAAATTAAACTTTGACAAAGATAATTTAGGGAAATGAAAAGGTGGGATTACCTACACCAGACAATCCTGCCAATGTGTTCTTGCAAACCTTGATCCTTCTCATTAATTCAAATTGCACTATTTCATAGTACGTAAGACAGTAGCTAAAAAACTTTCTTTTTTAGAGACAGGGTACTTTAAATTGTCCTTTAACTATTTTTGTTTGCTTTATAAAACAAAATGAGGTCTAAGAAACTGTAGACTACTGTGGAACTAGTTAAAAAAAATACAGAAAGCAAAGTGTGAGATTCATTTTCCAGAAAATAAAAATGCATTATTGAAAACCATTACTATATATAGGTATGTGTATATATATATATATATATTTATATATATCTTTCTCTATATATATCTCATTAGTATTTTTAATCAAATATCATAAAAGATGAAATGAAAACAACCCATGTTTATGGGTATGGGAAGTCAGCTTCTGCCAACTGAGCTTCATGAAATAATCCTTAAGGAACCAGCAGCACTCAGACTCGACGCACCTGCAGGCTGACAGAAGGGTGGCGAGGGACACACCAGAGATCCCGTCCCGTCTGCCCCTGGCAGGGCAAGCCAGAGCTGCTCTAATCCAGGCGGCCTCGCTGCAGACCGTGGGGAGCACAGGGCGGCAGCGGCTCTGCGGGCCGGCTCCGGGCGCGGCTCCCTCGGGCACGCCGGGGCAGCCAGGGCACGCCGGGGCTTCCTGCAGAGCTGCCTGGGCTACGCGGAGACCCGGCCCACGCTGGCGCGTCCAGGGCGCACCAGATACTGGGGAAGGAGGACGCGGCTTTCCAAACCTGTTTCTCCTTTCTGCAAATTTCTAGTTTTTCTTGTCCGCATAGAAAAGGTCAATATAAAGATTAAAAAAACCCCAAAAAACTAAGATTTTTTCCTAGTACAGGGATACTTCTGACATTTGAAGCTACAAATTTTATAGCAGTTAATTAGTGGTAACAGCGTTACCTAGTGGTCATAGAAAACTGCTATCAAGAAAAACTTATCTATAATAATTTAAAATATAGACAAACATACCTTCATTTGTTGTATATGAAAAGAAAAGGATCCACCGGATATATGGTGCAGCACTTGGGAGTCTTGCCATTATTGATAATGGTCAGGTTCAGTAGGAAAAACTGTGCTGCAATTCTGCCAACAGAAAACATAATAAGCTTACATCTCTGTCTAAGTTAAGGTAAAGGCGTAGTTTTTCCTATCACTCTGCTAGATATTAGAATTCAGACTCCGTGCTGTACCTATTTCCCACCTCTGGCCCCTAAAATTAGCTCATGGAATGAGACATGTAAAAGAATAAGGAGAACATAAATGAGCTAGAAGACTTTTCTGCAAAATTTTCATTATGGAGGATAAGGGACTGACATTGGCAGTGGAGCTACTCTCTTTAGCTACTATAAAAGAATGGCTGCTAGTATGTAAAGGGCAAAAAAGGGCAAGCACTAGACCAAAATCAGTGACATTGTCACCAAAGCCCTATGATTCCACTCAGATAAGTAAAAGAATTTAAGAATGAAGTGTCCAATCTACTGACTAAAATGTTTTCTCCAAGTCCTATCACCAGTACCTCGATAATCTGAGTATCACCTCTTTAAAAAAGAATTTTAGCAAAGAACTCTGAGCATTGCTCCAAAAGAATGCAGATTCATTAAAACATTAATTATTAAAAAGTTGTAAAACACATACCTAATCATTATATAACCAGAACAACTTTGGAGAAGGAAAATAATGCAGCCTTTATGTCCCTAAGCATAGCAAAACTGTCTAGGTAAACTGAAAACAGATGAAATAATTAATTTCAGACTTCAAAATAGCAAGTGTCCCCAAGATATTTTACCAATGTAGCTACTTAATGTCTAAGATAAAGCTACCAGCTTTCATATAACTACAAACGGATATCATGCATTTAAAATTCTGGTAAATTTGTAAGTGAAGTCATGCTAACTAATATGCTTTTGGCTTTGCTTTCAGTATAAAGAGGGATCATGTTGGTTCAGCAGCACATTGTTAGGACACAACCCTTTGGTCCCTTCCTCTCATGCTTTTGGAATTTTCTAACTTTCATATCTGGACAGGGTGTTCTCACTGCCTGAAGCTTCAGCAGTTCTGTTTATACCTGTAAGGCTCCTGGGTAGTACACTAGTTTTTATTTCAAAGGGAGAGGAGAGGAGAGGAGAGGAGAGGAGAGGAGAGGAGAGGAGAGGAGAGGAGAGGAGAGGAGAGGAGAGGAGAGGAGAGGAGAGGAGAGGAGAGGAGAGGAGAGGAGAGGAGAATCTCCTTCTCTTGGTGAATGGTATTGGGTGTTCTGCATAAGGCTGGTCAGATTCTGAAGTAGAAAAGACTAGTGTAAGGTATTTGTGGATGGTGGTTCAATACTCTCTTCCCCAAACCAACCATGCAGCAGAACCACAATACATGTGTCTGACAGAGGTGAGTCTGTCTGTCTGAAAATGTCCATCTTAGAAGTTAAGGGATAAGGACATTGTTAGTCAAAATAGAAGATCAGAATGGAGACTCTTCCGTGACCTTCTCTGGGGCAGTTACTGCTCATCGAGTAGTTCTTTACTAAGAACAAACTTGACAGACAAATTTCTCATAAGAGCTTGAGAAAACTATTACTCAAGAGCTGAGTTTATTCATATTCTGAGAATAGATGAAATGTGACTAAGCACAGTAATACATTTTTTTAAAAAGAAGACAAGCACCTTGGCTGCTGCTCAGAAAAAAACGAGCCAACTGCTCTGGCATAAAAAAAATAAAAATCCTTAATTTCCCTTTTTCCTGGAATTCTCAAGAGAGGAAGCATTTGTTTTCCACTGTTAGGTAATAGTGCCACATGACTGGAGTTCCAAGAAACTCTTGGAACTCTGGCAAAGAATCCTGAACCACATAAGCATGTCCAAATGAGCAGATGGCAGACGAAAAGCATCTTCACATGGAAGAATGGATCTGCACATGTGGATGAAAATGGAGTTAAGCCAGTGCTTTAATGAAACTGCAAGACAGAAAATTTTAAAACATTCACAGCTCTTCTGCCTGTTACCTCTTAAGTTTTTCATTATACCAGACAATGAAATACCAATCTTAAAAAAGCAGGTAACACATATAGACAATACTAAAATTACAGCAAACTCTGTAATATATATTTGGCTTAGTAAGTCTGATATATTTGAGGAAAGTAACTTGCAAAGACATAAGTCACTTCCCCAAAACTAGGAAAGAAATCTCTGTCGGGGTTAGAAGCAGATCTACATGGTTACTGGCATAAGCTACATGCTTTAATCACTTAACTTTCTGTTTCTTGAAAAAATGCAATGTGATTAGAATTATTTCATTCACTATCAAGAAAAATGGTACTAACTTTTGGCCTTCTAAGGAAATTAGGGTCACATTTCATTAACAGGTATAATCTGCAAAACCGTTATGTGCAAATAGTAACTCCTGCCCAAACCAAGAGGTCATATTAAACAAGACTGCTTAACGCACCGTTGCTGCAATTGTACAGCTAAAGCATCATTCCCTGTTTAAGGCTGCCTCTTTTTAAAACTGATGCACATCTTGTCTAGTTTAAAGCATTAACTATAAACGTTGAATAAAGTGAGACAAGTGGTACAGAGCAAAGCAAAATGTTCACCAACAGATTCTACATCAAACCTTGGAAAGAAAACCCGTGCAGCGTGCAATGCCTTCTGACGAGAAACCTCTCCTTTCCTCAGCACGAACCGGTCCGAAGCTCGTAGGCCTCCAGGCACACGGGGAGCGCAGCCCGAGCCCTGGGCTGGGCACGGCCGGGAACGGCGCCGGTCGGGAACGCGGGCCGGGGATAGGCGCGGCTGCTGCGCCTACCGCGCAGCACGTCCAGCAGGAACAACACTTCGGAGAATTACACCTTTCTGTGTAAAATATTGTAAAAGGAGCACTCGCATTTAACAGCCTCCAGGAAACAGAAGCGATTCTGGCCGCGGGTTCCAGACGGAGCCGCCGCACGGGACGGGCCCAGGGATATGCTCCCGGCGAAGCCCCGGAGACCTTCCGCCCTTCCCAGACAGACCTTCCGCCCTTCCCAGAACCGGCACGGAGAAAAACACAGACAGCACAAACTGCACGCCAAGCACAAGTAACGAGGAGTCGGTCCTGACGCCAGGACGAAGGGGCCGCCGGACGTACCTTGTGTCTACCGGGGCCCGCTCCGGACCCGGACGCTCCCGAACCCGGACGCAGCGCTGCCCCAGGCCCGGCCCGACACACCGCCCGTCCGGCGTGGCGCGGGGCGGGGCCGGCGCGGGGCGGGGCCGGCGCGGGGCGGGGCCGGCGCGGGGCGGGGCCGGCGCGGGGCGGGGCCGGCGCGGGGCGGGGCCGGCGCGGGGCGGGGCCGGCGCGGGGCGGGGCCGGCGCGGGGCGGGGCCGGCGCGGGGCGGGGCCGGCGCGGGGCGGGGCCGGCGCGGGGCGGGGCCGGCGATGGCGGGCGAGCGTGGCCGTCGCTGAGCTGGTGAGCACGGACAGGTGCGGGGGCGGCTGACGGGGGTGGTCCTGCGGTGGGAGTCCCGGGGAACCCCGGTGGGTTCCGGTAGGGCCGAGGGCTAGCGGGCCGAGCGGTTTTCCGGGGCATTGCCTCCGTGGGCTGCGGCTGGCCGGCGGCGAGGCCGGAGCTCAGCCAGTAGAGGGCAGTCGGTTGGTGCAGTGGTCAGGGAATTTCCTGAGCTGCCTTTAATTAATTCAGGCATTTTTTGAAACCTGTAGAGGGTTCTTTTCTGTCCAAATTCACCCTCTCTGATCGCCTGTGCTCAGATCGGGCTGTGTGTGGAGCAGGAGCTTTGTCTAACATAGAGTGACGGACGGTGTTGTGTTTGTCACCCCACGCTGCTATTTTCAGGTTTGCAAATACCGCAGGGGAGCGTTTTGTAGCGGTTAGTGGGGCGTGAAGCGCTCTCCAGCTCCAGTTCCTAGCAAGCCAAACCGGCCCAGTCCAGTTTGGTCAGCAACATGCTCTGCAGCTTCGATGAAAGCTACAGCGATAGAGAAAGAGAAGATCACTGTGAAAATTGAGAGGCTCAGTGACCACCAGGGATACCTAAAGACCCTCCAAGAGCACCGTCTGAGACTAACTGTGCAGACTCAAGCGAATACTATGTGTATAACCTTGAGCCAATTATGCGCGTTAAGCAGGAGTCATTCCCCTGTTCCCCATTCACATCCAGTGCTGCAGTAAAGTATTGCTTGCTTCTTAATGCTACATTGGTGTTAAGAAGGAGTTTTAGTCCCGATTTTGGGTGACAACGACACAATGCCTACGTTGTTCTTTTCTGTAGTTAAAACTAGTTAGATTTTATCTCTTGCACCCTTCCAGAAGGTCAGAGCTGGTCACCCTCTGCATTCTGAGGACAGCCTTGGGATCTGCTTTTTTGCCCTCATTCAATGTAATAGACTTTAATTGGAATCTTGTGTATACTTGGACTGTTGTATTCTTAATTTGCATTAACAGGTGCATTAATTCCAGCTTAAACCTCCTGCAGCACTTGAAGCCTGGTGAAACAATCTGATGGCAGCTCAGATGACCAATGCTCATCGACGGTTCTTGCAGGTTCTGATGTCTAATGGGATAACAGAAGGATCAGAGGCCAGAAAATTACACCAGCACTGCTGTGAAACTGATAAAGGTGTGTCTGTCTTGGCGATGAAAGAACTGGGTTTTTTTCCTGGTGCAGTTTGCAAATAATTTGATTTCTGAAGGGCATATACTAGCTAAAAAAAGTTTTAAAACTCTAATGATATGAGTGTTCCCTCTCTTTCCTGAAAGATAATACAGCAATGAGTAAACTAACTTCTAATCAGGCCAGATTCATATATAGTACTTTTTATTTTATCAAGGTTGTTGTTTATAGGTTATACATATAAATGATTTTAAAAAAATTTTGACACTGGAAGTACTTCACTATAGTTAATGCTTTTAAGTAAATGCACTTCAGTTATTTCTCCCAGGTGTTGTGGGAGAAGTGACTCTACAAAAATATTTCTGTGAGGATGAAATGAGGTTTCTTGGCAAATTGCTGTGCTTTCTTCCCACCTCACCTGCACTATATTGTCCATTCCAAGTCCTGGAAGCTGTGCTCCTACCAGGCTTAGGTATGTCCCTTGTCATGCCACCATGCTACTCACTCTGCAGGTACTCTTCTGGTTTTCCTTAGCTATAGATGTAAGGTCAGAGTCCCACAAAGCAATCTAATTGTATGTCTCTTGAGTCAGGAACTGTAACTTGACCTACTTTTTAGATGCTAAAATTGTGAAGTGCAACTTTTGGTGTTCTCTAACCCCTGTTCATTTTTTATGGAGAATTTTTATCCCTTTTTTCCCACATAAGATCTACCCAAGCAGCCACTTAACATTAGAATGTAGCATTAAAGTGTTAATGCTGTTGTACAAAAGAGTATTGTTACCTTTCATCTTTTACCCTCTCTGGGATCTGTCACTAAAGCTCCCTGGCTGCTGTGTGCAGTGTTTCCTGCTGACAAGGGCCGAGCAGCTGGCAAAACTGTACTTCATTTTGTACTTACTTTACTATCGTTTTTGTTGTTTGTTGACTTTGCTGACGGAAGGAATCCTGCATATCAGGAACTCCTGGGCAGGAGCGTCCTGCGAGTGCTGTTTGGCACTGGGCTGGATAGTGCAGTTTGGGAGCGGGACCTCGGCCCAATGCTCTTATGTGAGTGAGGAACTCCTGTGACTGAGAACAGGATTAATTTCATGATAAGTGGTTGTATTTTTTTTTATTGAGACATTAATCATTTATCTAAAATTGTGAGTTGTTACTTTGCGGCAGCAGCTCTCCGGTCACAGAGAGCGACAGACAGCTTTCCCAGAACAATGCCTGGGGAAGGCTGTGAGAAGATCAGAGAAAAGAGTGAGAAACAATTCTTATCTTCACTTGCTGCACCTGTTATTGTGAACATGTGGAATGTGTTATGGAGATTTGTTTAACGAAGGGTGGTTTCTTAATTAGCCAATGATGATGGTGTTTGGATTGGAGGACCAATTAGGTCTACCTGTAGAGAACTAGGTATAAAATAAGCAATAGGTTTATTAAGAAAGAAATCATCAGCATTATGTAAATGTATTGAGTCTATGTAACTTATTACTTGGCCGGGGGCCTACTGTAACATTACTTAGCTCTGGTTTTTAAACCATACCCTGATGAAGGCAAGCAGGGGTGTTGCCACTGACAAAGTCTTGTTTTGGATGAATGTGAGGGTTGTGCTGGTGCTGTGCAGGCAAGAACCATTGTATACTCTTCCACAGAATGACTGCAAAGTCCATCCTAATTATGTCTATGATACAACTGCTGCTAGTATTTGGTTTGTAGAAAGTGACTCAAGATATTTCTTGTGTTTCTACAACACTAGAATTTACATTTTCTGCTGTGTAACTTGAGCACTTATGTGCCATTAATTTGTGAAACAGAGCATACAGAAACAAGAAGTCCCTTGTGTATAAAGGAATTCAAGTCATTGTATTGTTCTATTGTGCATAACATTTTTTCCCCAGTCATATTATCTTTTCAATTCAGCTTAGTTCAGGTCACTGTAATTACTGGATTAGTGCTATGGGTTCCCTGCAACAAGGCAGACTGTCTGGACTCTGTCAACTGATTTTAAAGGAGCTGAGCATCTCTGAAGGGCACGAAACAGGAGCACAAGGAAATGATATCTCTGCTGAATTGAAGAGTTTGAATTCATGTTTGAATTCTGCCTCAGTTTTAGCACTCTTACCTGGGAAAAAATGTTTCACATAAAAAGATCGGCCTGATGCGTAGTTGTTTGACTTTTCTCTGTATGACTTTTCTCATTCATTTTCAGTTTACTATGCACATGATAAACTGGACGATTTCATCAGCATTATTAATAGCCACCTGCAGCCTTTGTTCATGCAGATCCGGAAAGGAATATCGGAAGACGATGGGAGAGCACATTATGCTGTAGTAGGTACCTGCTGTGTTTGCGTGGGGCTGGCAGTGGCTGCAGGAGCTGCTGGGAGGATAAACTGCCACAGCCTAGATGTGTGGGAATAGGACATGGCAGCAAGGATGACAGGACTGTTGGTATTACTTAGTATAAACATTGCTTCAGTGCTGAAGTGAGATTTCCACAGGAGACTTTCTTTCCTGAGACAGATTTTTAAACTAGAAAACACAGAGAGCAGTCCAACATCAATTTTCTTTTTCTCCCACTCAAAAATCAACCTAGCGCTAAAGGATTGCTGAGAAGTAGCCTAAAAGTTGTTTCCCCAGATGATCTGCAATGTGCATGTCAGAGAAGGTTATCTAGTAATTTCAGAGGACCATACAGAACGTATCCTAACATTAGCTGCTGCCTTTAACCTTTCCTTTTTCCAGTTAAGTTGAGCTACTAATTAATAGTAGTAGCATGTTCAATAAGAGTAGAAAACATGGGCAACTGGTTTTCAGCTTTCAGTGAAAAAAAGGTGACTGATAACATAGTTCCTGCTGCTGTCTAGCACCAGACCAGTCTAGCAACTGTGATGTGTCAGCTCTGCTGCTGCACTCTGTGTCAGTTCTGGGAGCTTGTGTTGTGGAATGGCTTTGCCTGGGCAGAGGAAGCTGTGGAGAATTTGTGGCTGGAAGATGAGGGGTTGTAAAGAAAGAACTTGAATACCATCAAATGCTCCTCAAAGAACTAACATTTATGGTAATTGTAAGATGATGTATTCTTAACCTCAGGGGTTTTTTGACAGTTTCTGGTATGAAACTACATTGGCACTTTGTCAGTTTATTTTTTTTGTAGGTGAATTTGGCGGAAACTGAAGTAACTAAAATGGCATCTGACTATACAGAAATTGAATTGGAATTGTTCAGAAAAACAGTAAGTATGTCAATTATCACTTAGTAAATCATATTATTTGTGAAGTTCTCATCTTAAAATGAATGAAAATGGAAATGGAGATGTGGTTGAAGAAGTAGTTGCCATTTTACCTAAGTTTATCTGAGATCAAATCGGTGGAGTGGGCAGGGATGAAGATATGTGCAAGTAATGATTTGTTGTTGTAAGTCAGTTATGGGTAAGGCAAAATCAGCACCAGGGAATGGCTCCCTGGGTTAGTGACAAGACATGCCTGCTTTTAGTTACACAGGCAACTTTCTTCAGGATTTTCAGTCATGACTGCTGAGTTTTTCACTGGCTTCAGTAGTTTAGTAATATAAAGTAGTTTTTAATGCCTTAACATACAAAATGAATTTGCTTATTTGCATTTAAGCATTTGTCTATGGTTATTGAGGTTTTTCCTCAAAAGATCTTTGACAAAGAGCAGATAAAAAGAAATGGATCTGTCACCACGGAGTGTGGCCAGGGGTCCCTGAATGCAGCTTCATTTAGGCAGCACATATACTTCTATTTGTGGAAACGTTTTCTTGGCAAAGATTAAAACTGCTAAGGGGACAATGATTGTTTCAGCTTTTGGCCTTTGTTTTACAATTCTGGTTCAAGCCATATACTGTAGTATTTCTCACATACATGGATGCAAAAAAAAATGCATATCAGCACATTACCGTAAGGTGTGTCTGCCTAACTGTTGTGTTTCTAATACTTGGTAATGTTTCTTCCTGTAGATGGACCTAATAATTTTATCAGAAAATGGCTTTGCCTCATCTACAGATATTTTAAATTTGGCTGACCAACTTAAGACAAAAAAAATGAAGAAAAAGGAAGCAGAACAAGTGCTGAAAGTTTTTGTGGAGGATAAGTGGCTCTCTGAGGTAACTGCATTCAGGTGTTCTTAGTTCAATGGGTCCAGCTACAATGTTCTTATGGATGTGGTAGTTGAGACTGGAGCTCCTCTTGAATGAATGACAGCAAAAATGGTCTTATGGCACCCATGCTTATTGCTGCTCCAGTGATTTTTGCAGAAAAGGAAGTAGACTTAAATGGAAAAAGTCCTTGGGTAGGTCTGTACAGGACCATGTGGTTTCAGTTTCTTGTACTGGTGCCAGGTGGGTTTGTGTGTCCAGTCCTGCCCAGTGATGCATAGACACAACAGCACAGCATCCTTCAACCTAGAACAAGAGCTGGGGAAAGCTCTTCAGAGTGATCAGTGCTGTTAGTTGCATTTAGAATTTCCTGAAAAGGAGTAAGGCCAGACATGTTGAAAACTCCTGTACCAGAAATGCATGGGCCACTGTGGACATAGTTACATCTGTTTTATTCTATGAGGAAGCAGTGGAGATTAACTCACCATGTGGACCATGGTGGACTGACCATATGGATACTGCAACTGCTTGCTAAGTGAGACCTTAATCCCTTTTCTGCTGGAGTCATTGCATCATAGATCCTCAACCTGCTGCCACACAGTTATTTACAAGTTAAGTTGATTTGGCAGATGTTTCCAAAGATACATCAAGCAGGAAATGCCTAGATTTTGTTGAAAGCTGGAAGAATTTCCTCTAACATTCTTTTTGGGAGGATCCCAAAACAGCATGCCTCTGTTGAGGAGTGCATGCTCACTCATCTATGCTTTCCAAGGACTAGATCTCTGTTAAAGGTGTGGGATTTTTATTCTGCTCCTCTAAACAAAGGAGTTCTGCTATTTCAAAAGTGGTTCTGGCATTGCATTGTACAGCATGTTGGTTTCATGATGGTAGAAAGAAGTGGCTTGTTAACAGATGGTTAGCAAAGTGAAAAAAGATAAAAGGAATGAAAAGAAATTCCTAATCTCAACACTTGTTTCCTTAGAAAAATGGAGAATATACTCTGCATACTCGTTGCATAATTGAGATGGAACAGTACATTCTCAGCAACTACCAGGATGTGGCAAGGAAATGTAACATCTGTCACAGCCTCGCCATCCAGGTAACATGTTTTATCACCTCAGCCAATGGACTTGCATGGTCATAGCTGAGGTTTGTGATGCTTCCCCTTGGGTATAATCTCGGTCTTTTAATCTGGTCATGGTGCTCATGCATTTTGTAAAAAATTTTTTTTTCCATTTTAGGCATTTTCTTCCTGTCTTTAGAAATATAATTGTCTTGGAGCAGTGTCTCCAAGTATAAACTGGAAAAGTGCGCTCCCACAATGAGGAACATGGTTTTCCTGTCTAGCTTTCTAAACCAGCATGTTAGAGATGAGCTCCTGGTGCTGAAAGAGGTTTAGCAGTGAGGTGTTAGCAGTGTCCTCTTTGGGCCTTGCCAATAGATGTCATCATGTCACACATTCATTCTTGGTTCTGGGATTTTAATTCAGCAATTCTTTGTGTTTGGACTTCAGAAGGAACACGTGTGCTATGTAGAGCATGCTAAAGCACTGTGTTTTGATAGCTGGGATGTTACCCATTCCATCTTGCTTAAGTAGTTACAGCCTGGATTCATATTCCAAAACTGCTACATTTTCTTGCTCTCTGAGCCTGCATCTTGTGATCTGCCCAACTAACATGCTTCCATGTTACTTTTTCCATCCCAATTAGTCTCCTTTATTGCACTGAAATTGTCATCTTTCAAGCTAAATTTTGTCCATATAGGGAAAAAGTATTTCCTCTTTTACAGAAAAAGACCTCCTTTTACCAGTTACCAGCTTTGACTGTTGAGTGTGTCCACCACCCGTATTGTGGGACCCATTCTTTGGAACAAAGCGTTGCATATCTGCTGCTCTTTGTAACAACTTTCTCTTAAATTGAAGGACAGTTTAGAATGATTTTATGAATCAACACTCCTGATTTCAGAGCCAAGTATGTGAATCCTGTGGAATTGGAATGCACTTACGTTGTGTCAGAAAGTACTTCAGAGGCCAAACTGAACCCCGCTGTCCCAAGTGTAATGAATTCTGGTCTTATGACACCCCAGGTACTAAGCAATGTATTTTTGAAAAGTTGAATGTAATAATACTAGGAAATGGGCTGTGATGTTCAGTGGCACTGCCTGTATTATTTATAACTGTGAGTATCAGGTATTTCTGGCTTCAGTGGTACGTTTCAGACACTAAACCACACACAGGCAGCATTGAGCCCCCACAGTGCCCAGAGAGTGCCACAGGGGCATTAGCAGACCCTGTGCATATTTTTTTATATCTGTCTTTAGGAGGTAGGGGGGAGTGGGGAAGGAATAGAGGCATACACAACCCATGACATTAAAACTTCTGGAAATACTGAGCTTCTAAGAATCTTTTTGGAATTACTCCATGTTTCCAGGGAAATTTGACATTGTGAACAGCAACAGAGGAATCACAAAGGTGATTTAACAATATTATCTTTTTTTTTGGTGTGAAGTCTATTAACCTTCCTTTAGTTTTCTTTACAGGTGTGAATCGGATGGGCTCCCAGACTTACCACAGAGCTCCACTCTTGGCCCTAGATGATGCCAGTTAAACTTGATGTCAGTGACATCTGTTTGCCACCACTCTGGCAGAACAGCCAGACTGTATTGTATTTGTTAGTAACAGTGCTCAGTGTACTCGTTTTCTAAAGTTCTAAGAATCTTCAAATAAAAATATAATTGATGTTCCTGTTCACAGTAATGCTTGTACAGCTTTCTTGGAGGCTGTTTTGTGTCTGTAATTCTCCATATTCTTAGGTTGTGACTCTCGGTGCATGTTTGGGGATGAAAGATGCAAATGTTTTAGTCAGTCCAGCAATCTGATATATGCAGCTGAACTCTTGAAAGAAGCCTTTCTCAGCAAGTGCTCCCTGTTTGTACAGGAACAGTACAAATTCAGTTGCACAACGGAAATGACACCTGTTGTAGCATGTCAAGCAGGTGAAAAATCAGTGCAGTGTGTGCAAGGCAGCTGGCTCAGTCTCTGACCTAGGGCTGGAGTTGGAGCACTTCTAGTTGGCACTGTGGTTGTGTTTGGTCCCTTCTTTAGATGCAGAAGAATTTGTCTTGATGTAAGGCCATGTAATGAGCAGCTGTGCTCTGTAAGAAGGTAAAATTGCCACAGAAGGATGGGGAAGCAGTATGACAGGATGTGGGGCAATGTTAGCTTATGTCTGTAAACTCCTGAAAACATTACCATTCTGAGATTCTTCAGGTTTTTTGTCTTGGCACTTGTCTCCAGTTTTAAGTAAGGATGCTTTTTCCTTTAAGAGTGACTTGGAAAGGAGCCAAGGGCTGGCTATTGCCAGACAGACACCTGACTAAAATGGCAGCATTCTTGTCCCTGGTGGAGATGTGTGACACAGCAGAAGGGCTGTGGCAGCAGTTCATATGATGGTTAATCAAAGTATAATTAAACCTCAGGTTATCTAACTGCAATTAAACTATGGATTAACTTCAGTTATGTTCTAGGCTTTAACATGATGTTGTGGTTTAGAAATAGTACTCCCCAAATTAGTGTTTCCACCAAAACGCTCCAAACCACAAGATGCTTGCTCATTCCCTCCTCCCCCTACCTCTCCCCTCATGGAGAGGAGAATTGGGAGGTCCAAAAGATAATGATTTGCAATAAGAACAATTTACTGGAAACAGCAATGGAATAAGAAAATGAGCAGTAATAGCAACAATATCAATAACAGTGTACAAGAGAGACAAAAGATTCACACAAAAAGATTCACACAGATTCAATCACTAAAAGACCAAGGAGCCCCTTCCTGCCCCTGGCCTGCAGCAGTGGCAGGCTGAGGTGGTACAAAATAACCTCTGGGTCTGGGCCATGCCCCTCCTGGCTACTGCAAAAATGAACCCTATCCTGGCCAGAACCAGGCCATTAATAATTTTTTCCATGCAAGTGACTACTACCTTGCTTGGTGTTAATTTTTTAATGGATTGAACCTTCAGGTAGCACCATCTCTCTAGCTAACTCCAGGGTTTAGTGTTACTAAATCCAAGTAGAAGATAACCCTGACCTGGTTATTCAGACAGAGGCTCAGGCAGAGCTCTGGCAGTGCCTGTACAGAGGCTGTTTCTGATGGATGCATACACAGGACAATGACTTAACAATATGCTCTTTAGGAGTTATTAGAAACATCTACAAAAATGAAGTAACTACAGCATCATCTTTCCACTTACCCATTGTGACTACTTCTCTGTGCTTTAGCAAGAGTTTGTTGGTTTTTGGTTTTGCTCCATCTCTAACCTCTCCTGAGAGAGAGACGCTAATTGCCTGATTTTTAATTTAATTTCAGTGCTGCTGGCTACATGTCAGAACTATGACCACCAGAAACTAACAGAGAAGCTGAGTTCAAGTGATCGCACATAGTGCCAATATTTAACTGGAATAAACAGAATCTGTCCAGGCATCAGAATGCAGGACTGAAATGCAGCCTTTGTGAAATTTGGAAACTTGACCAAGTCTGGATCTTCCACATCAACCTATAAAAAACCAAACAATCATCAGAAGAATGTCTTTACTCAAATATGATTTGATAACATTACTGATACTAAAATTTCAAGCAGCTATTTACCTGACTAGTGTTGTGAAGAATTTGGCTTTCATGGGGGTACAGGTTTTCTGAATCTTGTGGTGAATAGAGACGGATATACTTTCTTCCAAATACCTGTATGTAATAAAATAAATGTTTTCCATTGGTCATTAACTGGCACGTTACTGGAAGCTGTGGGCCATAGCAGGCAGTTAACAGTAAAATATACCTGATTACAAGGAATATAATTATTGTTAGTAATAGACACCGCTATAATAAAAAGTTAAATCAGGCTATTGGAATTCAAGTACCTCTTCCCTTGGAGCAGATAAGAATTTGAAATACCATTGGGAAGGAAATGCATTAACCAGATTGCTTTCAATTCAAAGTTCAAGGAGTCCAATTTATATATCATTATTTGGGCTCTACACAGCTAGAAGTAAGAACTGAGAGTAGGAGGCTGAACCTTCATTGCAATTCACATCAATAGGCAGAGGTACTTGCACAGTGACTACTAACCTTCCATATACCCCTCAAACTCATTTCTGTCTCATCATTAAACCAGTTCTTTCATTGGAGTGCTGAAATGAGATGGGAATTTGTAAGGCAAGTGGCCTGGCTTCCCTGAATGCTACATGAACTGCAACATTTTGGTGTCAAGATATGGCAGCATGAACACGTCAAAGCTGAGTCCTCCACTGATACCAGTGGAAGAGAAGGTTTAGGGTGAAGATTCATAGTGCTGGTGCCAGCATTCCAGACCACCGCAAGAGCTAGGCATGATCAGGTACAAGGTACTATTGTGAGTACTCTGACTAATCCCAGCAGCCTTGAGTGGCTACCCAACCATTCCTAACCAACCCGCTTTTCCTCTATCTTAACATTGTTCCCACATAATAGAACAGGATTTCCTGATATCCTACCAACACCAAAGCTGTCATACTGGCTATTTAGAGTTTGTTGCTTTCAAGGACATCACGTAAAGGTATTCTACAGACTGGAAAAGTACCAAGTACTCCTGCCCTGTCCTCCTCTTCACTATCACTGATTAAACTACTTGATCTATATAACTCTGGCTGTCCATGTGTTTTTAGGATGTATTCCATACCCCAAAGAGATCAAGGATATTAATTAGCTCGCTAAAGAACTAAGTATTACAGGGTATTTTTGGTGACATACGGCAGTGACAAAAATTATAGTTATTGCTCCAATAGCATATTCTCTGGATACTTGAAAGTTTTTTGGGACTGCCATCAGCTGTTAACACCTCCTTCTTTCACTTGCCTCACTGGATTAAGACCTTGTATATTATAAGATGGCAGGCACCAGTTAATGGGCAATAGCCTGCATCTCCAGAGACTGCTTTTCTCATTAATGGAGAAACTATGATCTCAGTACCAGCCAGGATAATTTTATTTTGTTACTTGTACTTGTGCCTTCCTGTACTCCACAGCCACAGTTTAAATGGCATCACAACACAGGGCAATTTTAATTGAAAGCTGCCAGATTATAAAGACTCTTTCACAGCACTGGCAGATAATCTCCTATTTTTTTCAGGCAGAAGAAAACAAGTTCTGAGGTTTGTAAGGGAAGTATCTTTTCCCAGTCCAACAGCTCCTATAAATTTTTCTTCCACCAAGAAAAATTCCCCTCAAGCTTTACATAGCATGAATATTACAGTACTTCACCTTCAGAATACAGCTGTATGAGTGTGCTGAGCAGGTAGCATGCAAAAGAAATACAATCCATAAAAAGTTGCACAGCAGTTGTAAAAAACCATTCTAGGAAGGCCTGAATTAAGCCTCAGTTTCAAGTGAAAACATATGTTAGCAAGATGCAACTGGGACAGAGAAACTAAGGCTCAACCCATAAATAACCATCAGTGGAAAGTACGTCACAATCCTGCTAGAAAAGTGTGAAAGTGTGTGTGTGGTATTTCCTGGGTCCCCAGGACAAAGGAGGAATTGAGAATCTGACTCCATGTTCTTAGAAGGCTAATTTATTATGTTACTCTATTATATTAAAGAATGCTATACTAAAGAATACTAAACTATATTAAAGAATAGAGAAAGGATACTTACAGAAGGCTTAATAAGGTACTAATTAAAAACTTGTGACCCTTGCCAGAGTCCTGACACAGCTGGACTGTGATTGGTCATTAAGTCAAAACAATTCACATGTTGGATAAACAATCTCCAAACCACATTCCAAAGCAGCAAAACACAGGAGAAGTGACTCAGATAATTATTGTTTTCATTTTTCTCTATGGCTTCTCAGTTTCCCAGGAGAAGAAATCCTGGCAAATGGATTTTTCAGAAAATACGATGGTGACAAGTGTAAGCCTGGATTTTTTTAAGTCTGATGGGACAGCAATCTCCTTCAGTAAACAAAACACCTCTCAGTGTTCAAAGATTCACAGTAATCAACTGCTTGGATCCAGAAGACATCCCTTTGACCTGTTCAGTGCTTACCACAAAAGGCCCCAATATTTTATCAGGTTATTCTGCACTAGAAGTCATCATCAAAAAGCCTACCAAGAGAAACTCAACAGAAATTATGTCAAAGTACAAGTTTTAATTCCTATCTCACTGCATGCATTAATATTTTACGGGGTAACCTGAAACAGACTAAAGTATGCATCTAAGTCCACCTCAAAACCTTGCTTTCCAGATGTGCTGGCTTTGGCTGGGGTAGAACTACTTTTCTTCCCAGTGGCTGGTATAGGACTATGTTTTGGATTTGTACTGAACACAGGGTTGGTAATATAGAAATGTTTTTGCTATTGCTGAGCAGGGTTTACACAGACATGAAGCCTTTTCTGTCTATCATACTGCCATGTTGGCAAGGAAGTTGGAGGTTCCTGGGAGACTGGGAGGAGACACAACCAGGACAGGTGACCCAAACTGACTGACCAAAGGTATTCCAGACTATTTGACATCATGCTTAGTATATGGGAGAAGAAGAAGAAAAAGAAAGGGGGGATGTTTGGAGTGACAGTGTTTGTAATTGTTAAGCGTGATGGGCTCTGCTCTCCTGGGAATGACTGAACACCTGCCTGCCTATGAGAAGCAGTCAAGTAATTCTTTGTTTTGCTTTGCCTACATGCACAGTTTTTGCTTATTAAACCGCAATCCACAAGTTTTCTAGCTTTTACTCTCCCCATTCTCTCCCTCATCCTGCTGGTTGGGGAATGAGAAAGCAGCTGCATGAGGCTTGGGGATTGGCTGGGCTCGAACCACACCATCAGAAAAATAAACTCCTAAGTACAACATGACAGGATCCAGATTCTTCCCAACTCTGTTACAAAATCCATGTGACCTTGGAAAAGTTGCTTCTTGTGATTTCTATCTATCATCTGTAAAACAAGGGTAAATAATGGTCTCTCAATGAGCAACACTTGTGGTCTGTAAGATTACATTCAGTAGTAAATTGCAGTAGTGACAAATGCAATAAAGTAGCAAAATAGTATCTGCATGTTCTCTAACCTTCCATTGTTCAAGTTGTCTGCTCCCCTTGTCTCTAACACATACCATAAACATTTTCTCTAAGTATTGCACTAATGGCATGTGCAGAATAACTAGAGTACATACCTGGGCTAAAAAATTTTGCTGGGGATCCTGATGAAGAGGTGAGATTGTGCCTCCCGGACCAAACCAGGCATTAATGGTGATGTCATCTTCTTCCCCTTCCCCCAGGCAGCAGTAGTCAGGGATACTGATATCTTCTTTCAGTTCTGGGATCTATTTCCACAAAGAAAGAAACATTAAAAAGGGTATGTGCTGACTTGCCAAAATACGTAATTCATCAAACAGATGAGCCAGGCTGGATGCAAAGAAAACAAATGACTGGCTGGTCCAGCAAGGGTAGGAGAAAAGTAGCTGACCTGCTAGGAATCTGCAGGAAATGTTCTCAAACTTTCTGTTCTAGTGAGCAGACTCTGTTGGAAGGAGAAGCAGGAGAAAGAAAGGGGTTTCCTCATTCTTCAAGAGACCCTTTGCTTTTGCAGAAATCAGAGACACCCACAAGAATAAGTACATTTGTTCCTCGTGGAAAAGGAGCAGCTATCACTTCTATACTATGCTTGCTTCCATTTTTATGTCTCCCACCAACATAAGCTCTGGTAAACTGGAATGACATTTCAGATTATGGTAAACATATTAATGTTGAAAACTTTCCTGTCCAAATCTCTTCCCTGACTTATGAAAGGGGCTTTCCTGGTGATATCCCCCTAAGTATATGCTACATTGTACTGAAACAGCACTAGGATTGAATGTCTTCATCCCAAACAGCATTTGTTTCCTTATCTTGTAGCCAAATGGAACAAACTTCTCCCTCTGATCCTTCAAATCATAGAAACAGAAACTTAAAAATTACTGTGAATTCTCCATATGCCCTTCAATCTAGTACAGTCAACATCTTGAGATACAACTTGTGCTGCAACAAAAGGAAGACATGACTGCAGGAAGATAAAAACATTCACTCAGTTTTACCTGATCAAAAAGCTGGTGCTGGGCAAGGTATCCCACATTGTTCTGAAATAACAGCAGAGAAAGAAAAAACACAGTAACATACAGGTAAGACTGTGAGTTAATTTACTTACAGGTGAATAGAATTTACTTATAGTAAATTCCAGTGTCCTGTTCAGAGTACTATATATAACTATTTCAACAGTATAAGGTGTCTTCAGAAATAGCAACTTACAGCTCTATTGAAATAGTGAGAGTGTAGGTGTGTCTCCACAATGAATAAATTATCCAGCTTGAGTTACTGAAGGAAGCTGGGATTTCCTATGGAGTCTTGACAGCTGACAATGCACTGCATCTTTCTAGCCAGACCCTGCTGGCACACAGACCAGTTCTCCTTCACGCCCTGGAACTACTTCCAAACTCTATTCCAGGGTGCACCACAGACCAATTTGCTAAGGCACATAGTCCTTCCTGCCAGAGGGCCAGGAAACAGAAATGGGGGCTTGGGATCCTCATCTCTGAAAGCAAAAGGACATTCCAGATGCTAATCAACTTTGTATTTTTCTGCCTCATGGCTTGTAAATTTGGATCTGATCCTAAATCTCACTAAGGAGTTTAATGAGACAGAAGAACAACACTGCTGGCTGAGGATCCCTTATTCTTAGATTCCAGCAGTCAGGTTTTTGCTGCGTATGTATGTGTGTATCTATTAATCAAATTCCAGCTACTGTACATTTGATTATAGGTAAAAATCAAACCTATTGTTGCAATAATTATTCCTAGCTTCAGGTCTTAAAAATATGTCAAACCTTTTCATTCAGAGCTGTGCTTACAGCACACCCCCTCCCTTGATACCACCTCTGAGTAGGTTTGTTGTAAACAGAACTGTTGTCTGTACCAGTACCATGCTGCTGTGCTTGGAGATTAAACACACAAGTGTAACAGACCTCATCCATGATATACTGGCTGATGAAGTCACTGACAGTCATGAGCTGCTGAGACCATTCCTCGTCTGTATACCGAGCACCCAACTCCACGGGGACTGTGCGGCAGCCTGCGACTTGACAGAAGTAGTCCACGCTGAAATAAAGAAAGTTCCATTACCTTCTATTCTACTGCTCTTACTAATTTTGAATGTAAGGCAATCAATCCAAATCAATCTTGTTGGGTAATAAAATTCTACTACCCTGCTTTTCTCCTGTCTAAACCAAACCAACCAGAAGAAAAAGGCAGAATAAAAGAATGCAAGCAACAAGGAAATCAGCAGGCAGGTTTATGTGTACATGACTCCACAACTGTCTGTTTTGTTTTGGTTTAAAAGCCTGTTTGCCTCAGTTGTTTCATTCCAAACTAAGAAGATTTAAGCTGTTACTGTCTCTTGGCAAGGGATGGCTTTCATGGATGGCCAATCTTTTTGCTGCCTGCTGCCACATTTGATAACATGTTGTATCTTTTACTCAGTAATATTAGATCAACTCTCTGTCAGTGTCTATACAGGTGCCAATAATACCCATTCCAATTGTAGCCAGAGGGATTAGTTTGATGGGTGAAATACATCTCTCCATGGACAACAGTACTAATTAAACTGAGAAGCTAATCTTGCGAGTGATTTTTTCCCTTTTCTGGGGAATCATGACCTTCACCTCACAAATACTTGATGGTCAGTATTGGAAATGTGGGCACCATTGCGTGCAGTAACCAGGCAGAACAATGCTGTTACTCAGTCCTGCACAGTGGTGTCTGAAACCCAACACTCAAACACAACACTGAACAAACATCAGTGCTTGGACTTAAGAATGAAAAAGTCAACCATGCTTACTCTTGGCTCTGAAATTCACTTTCCATTGCAGTAATTATTGGCAAGCTCCAAGAGGTAAAAACCATTGATATGTGTGCTTGACACAGATCCACTGAGCTGTGAACAGCTCACTGGCACTTCGCAATGTGCACTTCTCATGAGATCCCAGGTGTTGCCATTGGGCTCCTGGGACGGCTGAAGGCTGGGCAGAGGGTGGCCTCCACCCATGAAGAGCCGGAGGCTGGCCAAAGAGTCACCTTTGGCCCCGAAACAGCCCAGCATCTGCCTTGAATGCTATCAAGAGCTTCTCTCATCTATGAAGCAACTTCCACAGAGCAGTAGGACAGTGCTGCTAGCAAAATGCACTGCCCGCGGTATCCATTGCCTGGGAAGGCCTGCGGCTCTATCGAGCATCAAGACATCCAACACAAGGAACGATCGTGCCTTCACTTGGACAGGGAAGGAACTTACTTCTCACCTCCACTTCTTCATACACGGCCAGTGATCCATGACGCCCTCCAGGACCACGGGCCGCTGGGGAACGAGGTAGTTGTCTCTGAAGTGCTCCAGCGAAGGACAGCGAAGGTGCGGAATCGCCTCCTCCGGCTGCACGGCGGAGGGCGGCGGCGGCTCCGGCCGGACGCTCTGGAACGGACGTTCCCGGTCAGCAGCCGGCAAGGAAGGCCGGGCCGCGAGGGGGCGAGGGGGGCGCGGGCGCTACCTGGGCGCGGGCTCCGTGGCGCGGCGCCGCGCGGGGCAGGTGCGGCTGCAGCGCGCGCACCAGGCGCGCCAGGACGTTGTCCAGGACGGAGGCGCCCATGAGCAGCCCCAGGTCGCAGAGCCGCACGGCGCGCGCGAGCGGGCGGCCCGCGGCCACCTCGGCCAGCGCCCCGAAGAGGCAGCCGTAGGCGTAGACCTGGCGCCAGCCCTTGCCGACCTCCCTCCATGGCCCCGCGTTCAGCTTCTCCCAGGAGTAGTCGCGCAGGACGTCGCTGAGGCGCTCCAGCGCCGCTGCCGTTGCCGCCCCGGGCCGGCCCGCCGCGCCGTAGAGCAGCGCGCGGGCCCGCCGCAGCAGCGGCAGGACGCAGTCCTCCACCTCGCCGCTCAGCGCCAAGGTCAGCCCCTCCTCGGCGCGGGGCAGCAGCGCCCACACCTCGGCCCACAGCGCGGGGCTGCCGCTCGCGCCCTCCGCGCTGCCGGTCGCCGCCATGGCCGCGCCTGCGCCGACGTCCGCGAGGCGGCGCTGTCGGGCCGGGCCGGACCGGGCCGGGGCTGGGGCTGAGGCGGGGCCCGGGGCTGAGGCGGTGCCTGACGAGGCTGAGGCGGTGCCTGACGAGGCTGAGGCGGCACCCGGAGGCCAGTCGGGCTGACCGCGCCGGGATCGGAGCTTCTGTCGTACCGGCGAAGCTCGGTCTCCTCGTTCTTTACCTGTGCACTTGACCAGCGAGTCAGCTGGAATTGCGTGACTGTCATCGGCACTGCTTTCGCAGTAAAGGGGAGCCCATAGACGCGGTGAATGTCACGGTCTCTACCCCGGCCGTTCAACGAGGGCCGGCGTGAGGAGGGGCTGCCTGCGCTGTGGAAGCCTCTCAGTCCCGGTCGCGGGACAGCGGAGCGCAGGCGGTGAGTGCTGGGGGAAAGGGAGATGCGCTCTTCCCAGCTGACCTTTTGTGCTGCAAAGAAACGTCTCTGCCCGGCCCCCTCGAGGAGCTCGAGCGGAGCCCAGCGCGGCTCTGAGCCCGTGTCCTCCCGCTGGCTCAGCTGCACATAGGACGTGCTTTCTGCATGGGATATGCACGAAAGTCTTCTTTTTAACGCGCTGGGCACGGCATCACTGAGCCCAAATTTGCTTTGATAATGTGCCCTCAACTTAATACTAAATATTAAGTTCTCAGGACTTAATACTTGACTGCAAAGGCAAAATAATATTTTACTTAAAATTCAGCAACTGAGGAATGTTTTAACAGGGTGAACCAAACCAAACCACCATAAGAAGAAATGAGGATTTTTTAGCTCCTAGTTAAGGTTGAAGTCTTCAGATTTGAGACAAATCCTAATTTACAGAAAAAGTTAAAATCATCATTTTCTGTACTCAGACACTCTTCTTTGTTCCATGCTCAGTGACTAGTGCTTTCCAAAAAGGAAAAAAAAATTGATGTGAATCCTTCTGTTGCTGGTGGTGGTGGCTCTCCCCTGCCCCCCAGGTGTCTCCTCGAAATGATCACTTCTGCATTCACACTTCTCACACTTCAAAGTTGTGCATTGCTTATCATGCTGGCCTGTCTATTGCCTGTCTTCTGACTGCCTTTCTCTTAGCACCTTAAATTCCTTCTGTGAAAGTGTGATTTTAGCACCTTCATTCACTATTTTCTCCTTAACTGCTAAATGTTAATATATGCTGCTGTAGAAGAAAGTATTTAAGTGTCAAGGAGGTTTTCTTGTTAGACCCTTTGTTCATTATTTGTAATTTAGGTTGATAGCAACTGTTGTTAGTCTTGTGTTTGTGGACTGTCCACTTTTTATAACTATTTACATTAACTTCTATTTGCATTTAGGTTGGTTAATACAATTCTCATTAAATAATAGTTTTTGTAGTTTAAATATGAGTAATATTTTCATGAGTTTCACTTTGAAGATTAGGATTTCCTTTCTGGAATTTCATACAACACCAAGGTCCGAACAAGTAATCTCCAGCAAAGCAGTACGGCATTGAGGCCAGGATGAGCTTTGTCCGTTTCACTTCAGGTGATTTTAGTTTTTGAGTGTTCAAGGAGGCTCGGTGTTCCTCTGTGAGTATACACTGGAAGACAATTATTTCTAGTCCGTTTTGGTGCAATAGTTTGAATTCTGATACGGCATCAATAGTCTTGAATCACAGAATCAACTAGGTTGGAAAAGACATTTTGAGATCATCAAGTTGAAGCTAAGACCTAACACCGCCCTGTCACCCGGACCATGGCACTGAGTACCATTTCCAGACTTGACTTAAACACCTCCAGGGATGGTCACCTCCGTGGGCAGTCCATTCCAATGCCCAGTCACTCCTTCTGCGAGGAACTTCTTCCTAATATCCAGCCTAAAACTTGCCTAGTGCATCTTAAGACTGTGTCCTCTTGTCCTGTCAGTGGTTGCCTGGAGGAAGAGACCGACCCCACCTGGCTACAAACTTCTTTCAGGAAGTTGTTGTTGCAGTTAAAGGGGCTGTATATCTGCTGAGCTAATAAAGCTCAGGTTTTAGGGTGTGTACTGAGTCTTGTGTGTTTGGCCTCTAACCTTGGAGGAAAATCCACTAAAAGCTCATAATATCATGCTGCATCTTAACAACTTGGTTGAAATTATCTTCACTGGGGGAAAAAAAACCTAACAGATTTGCAAATGCTGAATTGGGAAGTTTAGCTCTCAGAGCAGTTAACCTTGCAATAATGCATGCTAGCTTCGAAATGCCTGTAAGCTACTGCAGATGTTTTGTATGAGCTGGCTGACCAAGGAAGTGGACCACTTCAGTGCTAGACATTTCCATTTTAGTCAAGAAGAGAGAATTTAATTCTTGCTGCCAAAGAACAAAGATTACTGTCATGTGTCTAACCTGCAGAAACTGATGGGAAAACGAGTTCCACGGATTATGCCACCATCACTGAAACTTGATTTTGTTAGAAGTAAATTTTTTAAAGATTGTGGAAAGCAGACTGCCTAACCTTGTAGAAAGATGTCCCTTAAAGCATAGAAGAAAACTTGGTACCAAGACTTCCCCTGCTGCTTCCTGGGTTATAGTCTGTGCTTTTCATTCTCTTTATATTCTGCATATTTTTAAATATGCTCCAGCCACCTCTTTTTCCCCTAGCATGGACTTTCAGAAAGAAATTATCTATTTAAAAAAACCCAAACGAACAGGCACACAATTAAAGGAGATAATGCCATCTGTATGCAGATAAAGCCATCTGTATTTTGCGCTTCTGTTTACAGTCATATATTCCACGACCCGCAATTGATGTTACCTTGTCTGCCACTGGTGAAAAAGTAATTACACCAAGTATAAAAAAAAATACACTCTGTATCTTACCTTGCCTTTGTCTTTATTGAAAAGAGCATTGGCCAAAGAGTATTTGTCCTGGTCCAGAATTTAATTTTTTCAAAAAATTTATTTATAGGAATATTCTCCTTTATAGCACTCTTTCCTCATTTGCTAATTTGAGTTAACGAACAAAGTCCTGTGATTTTTTTTGGATTTTATTAAAGTTACATCAAGACACATGCTCAGTGGTTCACTACTTAAGTGCAAAATAGGACATTTGTATTAAGTGGATCAATTTTTAAAATGACAGCATCTGCTTGCCTGTACATATTTATTTATGATTCTTCCCTAGGTGAATGTAGCAGAAGTCTGGTGAGGAATAGCCAGCTGTTGGAATTAGCAGATAAAGAAAGCAGTTATTTGTTCTGTGAAGGAGTGTGAAAGCTGAGGCCAGGAGTAATAAAAACTAAATAGATGCCCCAAATATCTAACACAAGTCAAGACGTGTAAATTGCTTGCAGTGCTGAATGGTGAAGCCATCTCAGATAAGTTACCTCGTTGAGAGTTTTTGTTAAAGATGAAACCTTCTTCAGTGCAACATCATGTCTAGCAATCCACTGCACAACAAATAACATTGAAGATTTTCTTTTTTAGGACTCGGGGCTGCTGCTCAGCTCCTCAGGAATGCCATGTCCCTTTTGGCAGCCTGGTACTTTGGAATTTATACTCTCCTGAAAGGGAGGATGGCAAGAAGATGGAGCCAGGCTCTTCTCAGTAATGCCCAGCAATAGGAAAAAAGGCAAGGCACTGGTGCATAGGAAGTTTCACCTGACCCTGAGGAAGAACTTCACTGTGTGGGTGAGATGCACTGAACAGATTGCCTGGAGAGGGTGTGGCAAGTCCCTCACGGGAGATATTCCAGAATGTACTGGACATGATCCTGTGTCAAGTGCTCTGGGATGACCCTGCTTGAGCAGGGAGGTTGGGCCAGATGACCTACCTGTGGTCCCTTCCAACCTGAACCATTCTGTAATTCTGTACCAGGGAAGGAAGGTGATCTGTTCCCTCGTTTCCAGGGCTTTTGGGACGCCTGGGCATGTGCCTTCACCGGCCATCACCGCAGGTAAGTGCCTGCCAGTCTCGGCAGCGTCCAGGAGCAGGGATGAAGTGGGGACAGGCTGATGCTGCTGCTGCCCTGCCACCAGTACTTAGGCTGTTTTTGCTTCCAGGAGTGGTTGACTGGTACCTTCCATGAGCAGTATACACAATATACTCACTTAACATCGCCCCTGTGCCTCCCCACCCATGCAAAAAAAAGGTAAAAATGCATGAAAATGGAACCTAAGATGCCCTCTGGCACTTAAATGGGAATATAAATTGATAACTGCCATGAAAGCCATAATTGTCTCTTATTTTCCTTTATAGGAAATGATTGTCTCCTCTTCTGCAAGAACAACAGTGTGAACACATAAGACTTAAAAGATTTTGGGTGTCTTTCCAGATTGCTTTTTTTGTTCCTCTGAACAGGAGATGAATGATTCTGATTAAAATATGTACAGAATTAATTACTAAACATAATTTTTCTCAGATGAGCAAGGTCTTCCTGATTGAGAGTAACACAGCCATGTATTTTCATGGTATCTTGGAGCTGAGTGTAGTTGTGCAGTGACAGTGTAATGACGGATATATCTTTATCAACCTGTTCCCTGAACTGTTTTTATCACTGCCATCTGCTTGGCTGAGAGTGGCAGCTGCCAGGTCTCACAAATAGTGCTGTCATGTACTTTCATGTAGAACAACATATTGTTGTAATTTCCCTGATATTACTACATGAAATAACTTTAAGTGGGATAAGGTGACATTTTGCATGGCACTTTGAAATGCGTCTCATTGCTTTGGGTATAGGACACACAGTGCTCTTTCTGGGGCAAGCTATATCAGCACACCCAGTTCTACTTTCAGAAATCACTGGGAAATACTTATTTTACAAAAACATTACGTAACATCCATCTGGGACATGTGTCAGTGCTGAGATCAACTGAGACAGTATTGCTTACACATGTTGCCTTAGTTACCTTTGCTGGATGGAAATTATGTAAGTTAGACTATTTTAAAGTTCTTTTTCCTTATATCAACTTGAATCCCCTTCATATATGCTAATACGTTCAGACAGCTCCTTTAACATTAAAGAAAACATA